AGATTTATGAAACATGTGCGATTGGGTCAAACCATCATCGGTCAATTCCTTCATTTGGGAAGGGGGCAACATTATTTTCAGCTCAAAGGGCTTGAGTGTATGGACCCATGTATGAATCAACGGCCATCTTAAGCTTGCTTGGTGGCTGGTTTCGTAGGAAGTTCCATAGAAAAGAGCAAAATTGATGGCTAACATACCAAGGGTTGCCATGTGAGGGCAGTTGGGGGTCATGGACTCCATCCGTTGGTCAAGATGAAATTGTTCGCCTTGAGAAGCTGCAGGGGTGCCACTTTGATGCCACTTTCACCGCAAAATGTCGTGCCAACTATCCCAAATCCCAAAGACCTTCTTGGTACCTGAGGCTGGCTTAGCCTACAGGGCGATTTTTCTCGAGAGGTCGTTTGGGGCCTTAGAACATGCCAAATAATTTTCTAGCTGGGTAGCTAGTTTACAGAAGAGGGGTGGGTGAATTTAGCTTGTTTGTCCAGGCCTATTCAACCAGAAAGGAAGCCAGAAACCCCGCTGCTCTCTTTTCTGAAGGAGGGTGCCCGGATTCCAAGCTTTCCAGGCACCCAGCGGCTTGCTTCCTGTTTTCCTTTTTTTGGGGAGAGGTGTCCCTCCTAAAATCAGCGACCAAGACCAGAGTGCTTTCCCTGTTCCCCCCCCCCCCCCTCCCAATTGGGATTCACACTTTGCAAAAATCAATGCTACGGGTCACCAAAACCTTGCCACCCTTCAACAACCAAACCTAGTGGTTTGGCTCCCCTCGGTACCAGACGCTGTTTTTTGGTTTTCTTTTATCCAAATTGGACCTGTAGGTAGAAATTGGACCTGGATCCAGTCCTGTAGGTAAAAGATGAGGTCCTGTAGGTAAAAGAGTCAAAGTTGGCTAAAACAACCAGACTGGTGAAAGAACACGGTGAAATCCCACCAGAAGCGCGCATCCTCGTTTTCTAGAGCTTGGGGTCGGGAGAACTCCGGACAAATCGGAGTCACCAGATTCAGAGCGATAGGGCAGGCATTGAGACGTGGCTCGTGACTAAGCTCAACCCTAATCTACCCAGAGGCTCAGGGCCTACAAGCAACCTGGTTTTGAGACCCCCAACCACCTCCGGGGTGTCTATTGGAGGGGTCGGGTCCTTCATTGAAAGCTCCAGGAGGTTATGGGTAGCGAAATAAGATGATTTTCATGGACATCTACGCCTCGGGTGTCAATCTACCAATTCCTGGCTGAGAGATTTTCCGCAAGCCACAAGTATCACGTACCTTGGGCGCTGGCTGCTTTGGAATTCCACAGGGCCGTGTCTATAGTGTATGTGTATATCTATATCTCTATATATATATGTATATATGAATTTACACATAGACACTACAACCTTGAATGAGGTTGCCTTTTTTTCTTTTACCACATTTCCTTATTTTCACAAGAAACATGTGTAATTGTTTAGCCCATTGCACACACACACACAGACGCAAGCGCACACCCACACATGTTATATATATATATACATAATATAGCCATTGTTGTCTTGTCTTGTCCTATTTGTTCTTATCTACCTTTACATGTTTTACCTAGTGCAACTAAACCCTATACACAGATCCGGGTGTAAGTTGAAAACCAGGTTTTCGCGTGGTACTACTGAAAACCTCGGCTTCCAACAGAACAACCCGGGTTTGTGAATTACACCCCGTGTTGACGCCGTACAATCCCCGTACCCACTCCGTATTTTCCGTACTGGGTGTAGAAGCCAGGCGTGCAATCTTACACCCCGGTAACTTTGCACACCCTTTTTGCAGGGCTTGGGAGCTCCATATATACCTGGACCCTCAAACTCCCCATAAAAATGGGATATCACCCCATAATTTTGGGGGGTCAAACCTATTTTTAAGGGAATTTTGAGGGTTCAGGTGTATATATATATATATATATGTGTGTGTGTGTATGTATACAACTCAATATACATACAGCATGGAGTCTGTCCGTTTGCTTTGGTTTCAAGTTGCCGGAGCGTCGCCCTGCTTGGCTCTCGTGAGTGCCGAGAGCTCTTTCGACCTTCGCACCCCCAAACCATGCGAGCGAACGCCTTTTTCTGGGGCAAGGAGCGAGCGAGAGCCGTTTTTCAGGGCCTTTACGGAAGATCCAATGAACTTATGTCAGGATTTTTTGCAGGTTTGGGGGCCCCTCAATTGTTTGGACCTTCAAACCGAAAGAGTGGGGCAGTTGTTTTCTTTGCGGAGCAAACATGGGTCAGCTTTTGCAGGGGGTAATTTCCAGTTCCTGTTTTGGAGTTGTAAACTTTTGGCGGATCCCCAAGATTCTGGGGGTACCTTCCCCATTCTTTCCAGGGATACTTCTTTCTAGAAAATCTCCGGAAACCCAGGGAACACGCCGGATTTTTAAAATAATGATGGTTAAAAAGAATGGAAAAGGAATCAACCCCTAGAAAAATACCTTAAGGGACCCGCATGCTTTCGGTGCACGTGTGCTTGCCCAGCGGCAAGAGCTGCTCCCTGGCGCTACCTCCCAGCGCGCGAATTCAGGAGCTCCAGGCTGCGGCGCAAGGAGCGCTGGCGCTGCAGGGGCTGAGCCTGGCGTTTGGAGCGCAGCGCCTGAGCGCGTCCTCCACTTTGAGTGACTCGTCTTTTGTTCAAAGGCGAGACGTGTTTGTTTTGGTTTCACCGATGTGTGTTTAGTAGGACTCGCTTTGTTTAAAGGCGAGGCGTTTTTTTGTTTCGCCGATGTGTGTGTGTGTGTGTCCCCTTTTTTGGCAACCGTTGGCGAGTCGACCTTTCTTTTTTCTCTACCGATTGTGTTCTGTGTGGGTGTGTCCCCTTTTTACCACCATGTTTTAGGGATGTTGTTGGTGGCTTTAGGTTAAGTAAGGCAAGTCGTGTTGTTTTTGTTTCACCGATGTGTGTCCCCTTTCTTGGCAACCATGTTTAGTGGGACTCGCTGGCTCAAAGGCGAGTCGGCCCTTCTTTTTCTCACCGGTGTTCGTGTGTGTGTGTAAACAATGTTTTTGGTTTGCGCCTTTGGTTTGCGCCAGTTTGTGTGCTCCGATTTGTGTCCCCTTTTGGGCCATATTTAGTGGCAGAAGGTTCGCCGTGGATTTTGGGTATCCAAGCTGAGCTGAGGTGAGGTGGGGGTGCAAGATGGGGACACCATAGAGGCGGTGTTGCAGACGACCAAGGTGGCTTCCACAGACGTAGCATTTGCTGCGTATGTCCCGGGAAGTGCTGTGCTCACTTGGGGGCAGGAGTATCGAGGAGGCAACTGCAGCCGGGTGCAAACTCTTTTGGCACATGTCCAGCAAATCCAAGCAACAGACAGTGCTTTCGCAGCCATCCTGGACGATGGCTCGGTGGTGACTTGGGGCGATCCACGTGTGAGTGGCAACAGCAGCCAGGTGCAATCTCAGCTTGTCGGTGTCTTGCAAATCCAAGCAACTCGCCGTGCTTTTGCTGCCATTCGGAGTGACGGCTCGGTGGTGACGTGGGGCCATGCTGACTTTGGCGGAAACAGCGAACATGCGCAAGCGCAGCTGGCGAAGGTTCCGAAGAAGGTCCGAAAGATTCAATCTTCTCACTTTGCTTTTGCTGCAATCCTGGATGATGGCTCTGTGGTGACTTGGGGCAAGCCTATCTACGGCGGTTACAGCCGCCAGGTGCAAGAGCAATTAACACGGGTCCAGCAAATCCAAGCGACTGAGCGGGCTTTCGCTGCCATCCTTGACGACGGCTCCGTTGTGACTTGGGGGGATGCCGAGCACGGAGGTGACAGCAGCCAGGTGCGAGAGCAGTTAGTGGGTGTCCAGCAGATCCAAGCAACCGGGAGTGCTTTCGCTGCAATTCTGGGCAACGGCTCTGTAGTGGCTTGGGGCGATCCCGAGGCTGGCGGTAACAGCAGCCACGTGCAAAGGCAACTAACACAGGTCCAGCAGATCCAAGCAACTCAGTGTGCTTTTGCTGCCATACGGAATGACGGCTCCGTGTCGACTTGGGGCCATGCTCACTATGGCGGTGACAGCAGCCAGGTGCAAGCGCATCTCGCGCATGTCAGGGAGATCCAAGCAACTTGCAAGGCTTTTGCTGCCATTCTGGACGATGGCTCTGTTGTGACTTGGGGCAATCCTGATGCTGGTGGTAACAGTAGCCACGTGCGAGAGCATTTGGTGCGAGTCCAGCAGATACAAGCGACTCGCAATGAGTTCGGATTCGGAAGTGCTTTCGCTGCCATCCTGGACGATGGCTCGGTGGTGACTTGGGGGGATGCCAAGCGCGGAGGTGACAGCAGCCAGGTGAAAGAGCAGTTAGTGGGTGTCCAGCAGATCCAAGCAAATGCCACTGCTTTTGCTGCCGTTGTGGCGGACAACTCTTTCGTGACTTGGGGCAATTCTGACAGCGGCGGCGACAGCAGTCAGATCAAGGGGCTTTGGCCCAGTTCACGAAATTGACATCCTCAAAATTACCCCTACTCCAACTACCAACTTTTTGAGGGTATCCTGCCAACCCTGTACCAAAACCACGGGGTATTTACCATGGAAAACAATGCGTTCCAGCAAACACGAAACAAAGGAGGTTTTTTACAGTAGGGTACACAATTTACAGGGAACCACCCAAAAGTCACCGTCAGAATGTCACGAAACACGCAGCAGCAACAACCTGAGTTCTACGTGAAAAATGGTTCGCGCGTCCAGGGCCGCTTTCCCTTCAACCTCGAAAGAGCTACCGAAGAACATTTGGTGATTGCCCTTCTCTTTAAGGGCAATTTGAGTGTCCGGGTGCAAACAAAGCTGTGGCACTCCAGTTCTACTTAGCCAGACACAAATTATCTACCTGGAGTCTCCATGACCCTTGAAACATGGGTCAATGGCCCCATTATTTTGGGTAATGACCAACCATTTTCTAAGGGTCATGAAGACTCCAGGTAGGGCTGAGACAGAATGCCAGACTCCGGCGGCAACTCCCGTGCCCTTCTTGCTTTGGAGCCTGTTCCCTTTCAATGAGCTGTCCTCGAAATCCAACATGGCCCAGAAAAGACCCTGGGCGGAGAAACAAATCCACGCAACCCATTGGGGGTCCAAATCTCTCAAAGACGAGCCACCCATCTCCAAGTTGACATTTGTTTGGAATAAAAGGAGCCCCCGGCCTTGGTTTCACTTCGCAACCTGTCCAGCTACGAAAAAAAAGAAAAAGAGCTCCAAACCCAGAGGGTCCGAGTACGTTTCTTTTCTTTCAGTACGGTGGGTTTGCTTCAAGGGAGCTTGGCAATTACAGATGTCCCAAAAGCTCGAAAATATGAGGTGCCAAGGTGTTTTTTTTGGAGCGAAAGTTCCTCATTTCAGCCAGCCGCTGTCGAAGTTGTCGAAAGCCTCTGATACTGAGCATGGCTTGTGCTGCAAACCGGCCTCTTTTCCATAAAGTTCTTCAACCCGCCAGGTCCGTCAAACCCCCCAAAGTTGAAGCCATCAGGTCTCCAAAACACCAAAAACGCTGCCCCACTTTCACCCCTCGACAAAAGTGGCATCTTTCAGGAACCAGGAATGGATCAAGGTTTGATTTGGGGACATCGAGGTTGCACCCCTGTCCTTTCAGAATGTCAGGTGTGTGGAAAGTCGGATTTCGGATGTTTATAGGAGCATCCCAAAGCAGTCACAGGCATGTTTGCACGTTGGTAGGGCGGCCATTTTATCCTTCCCCCATGTCTCTTGACGTTCCCGTGCTTCCTTTTTTGAAGGGCGCTTCCCTTTCACTTTTTTGGGTATCACTGAAGGTATCACCCTCAAGCCCATCACAAAGACACCAGCTGCCCCAAAAGATGTTGGGTAGTTTTAGGGTCAGATACTCAAAAGGGCTTGCCCTGCCGACATTGTGGTTGAAAACGCAAACCAAAGAAACAACGGGTACCTTGCGTAGTCCAGGTACCCCCCAAAAAAAACACCACACAAAAAAAACAACAACGATGGGGCACCCTCAGAAAAGAAAAAAGAACGACGCCATGAGAGATCCATTCCTTCAACCCTCCCCCAAAAAAGACATCTGTAGATAGATCCCATGTTTTGGACAGATCCGTCGTTAAAGCCTCCGGTAAACCTGGCACCCTCCCCAAAACACGCCTTGCGCGACCCCAAAACAGGCTAGCGCAGGCGCGCGTCCGCCCGCGAGCGTCGCGAGCGTCGCTAGCGTCGCTAGGTGCCTGGTGGGCACCCACAAGGACCTCGCCCGGGAGGTGCGCGAAGAGGAGGCGATTGGGAGGCGGTTGTTTCAGGGGTCTCTTTTGCGACTTTGACAAACAACTAGGTCCCCTAGCTTGGTGCCTTTCTCACCCCTTTTTTGGGGAGGGTTCCCCTAATAAATTAGACGACAGAAAAAGGGTAGTGGAGGACCTAGTGGGTGTTTCAGGGGTGTCTTCTTTTGCGTCTTTGCCTGTTCAGGGGTATCGGATCGAGTTGAGTTTGACCCAACGGTGAGTTTCTCTTCATGTCGGGGCAAATGGATCCACTGGGTAGTTCTTGTGGCTTTTGCTCTTTGTTTAGCTCCTCACTTCCAAACCCGGTAAGCTGGCAAATCTTCCTGAGGGACTTTGGTTTGGTCCTTGGTGGCGTTTGGTCCTTGGTGTGTTTTGAGTATCTGAAAACGGCTCAGGTGTTCAGCACGAAGGGCAGAAACACTGCTTGCTCAGTGCGTTGTGAGTGTGTCATGGTTGTTGCTGGGCAACATTTTACATTTTTGATCTTATTGTGGTTGAGTGGTTGAAATCCAAATCCACTTAACTGCTAAAACTGAAATTGGTTCCCCAAACCCAACGTCAAGGTGTGTCGAGCTAAGTCACTTGCTCAAAACTCGGGAAAGTGAAGGTTAGGGACACTCCCCTTGCCATGAATCGGTGCGGATCTCCGCCTTAACTCTTTACATGGTTTTGGGTGCAGTGTTGTACCACAAGGCTCCCATTCGATTGATTTAGGCCTTCACACCTGGGTTTGAGACCTCCACCTCCGGGGTGTCGAATGGAGGGGTCGGGTCTTCCAATTAAAACCCCAGGAGCCTTTGCACAGGCTTTGATTCTGACTGGGGTTCGCTCAAAACCGATCGACCCTTTTGGACATTTGGCCGTGGGTCAAAACCATTCTGGGATCCCATTTTTGTTGGTAGGCGAATTCACCGTCCATTTTAGGCTTCCTATTTTATGGTACCATGTCTGGGGGTTTTTGTGCACCACCCATTTCAGAACCTAGAAAAAGTGGTTGGATTGGTCGATGTAGCCACTGCAACAGTCCCGGTTTTTGGTTTTTGACCCATGCATGGTTGTTGTTGGGAAACATTTTACATTTTGCTTATTGTGGTTTAGTGGGAAATCCCCACTTAACTGCTAAAAACAAAATGCTTCCCTTCCAACGTCAACCAAGCATGGCCATAAGCCTTGAAGGTCTTGCAGCTCGCGGAGGAGATGCAGTGCCCATACCACGCCACTCGGTTTTTACCCCAAAGAGAGACGAAAGCGCGCGTCAAGCGCGCGTCAAACCCCCCAAAGAAAAGACATAAAGAGAGACATTGGTGGAATGATTCCCTGTGTGTGTTTTTTGTGTGTTGTTTTGTTCGAATGCAGGTTGTGTCTTCTAGACAGAATCTGCAAATGTTGTTTGTAATGCAGGCTGTCGGTTGGTAGGGATGGCAAGTCTTTAGCACCTAAGTCAGGGTCTCTTGGCACCCATTTAGTACTCCTTGAAAGAAAGGGTCCCAAAGGGTACCAATACCAACTACCAAGCTTTCAGATTAAGTTGGTTCGGCTTTCAGAGTTTCACTCAACGGACTGGGACCTTTGGCGTGCCTTGCCACTCGCCAACCCAACTTGATATCCCAAAGGGTAACTGGGCTTTGAGTTACCGCCCCTCACAAGCCTTTCGGCTCGAGTAGCAACCCATACATGCATGCATGCATACATGCATGCATACATACATGCATACATGTATGCATGCATGTATTTGTGTATGCGTGTGTGTATGTATGTATGTATGTATGTATGTATGAATGTATGTATGCATGTATGCATGTATGTATGCATGTATGCATGCATGCATGCATTGATGCATGCCTGCATGCATGTATGCATGCATGTATGTGTGTATGCATGTATACATGCATGTATGTATGCATGTATGCATGCATTTATACATGCATGCATACATACATGCATACATGTATGCGTGTATGCAAGTATGTATGCATGTATGTATGCGTGTATGCATGTATGTATGTATACACGTATGCATGTATGTATGCATGTATGCATGTACACATGCATACATGCATACATAGTCACATGAATACATACGTGCACACATACATACATACATACATACATACATACATACATACATACATACATACATACATACATACATACATACATACATGGATCCATACATACATGTATGCATCCATACATACATGCATTTCGATTCATATATACATATATACCTATATGTATAGTACCACTGTTCTTTTCACGAAGACTTCCCCCCCTTTGGCGAAATTCGGGGAAACTGGGGGACTTTTTTTTGAGGAGGTGTGCAACAAGAGCCGGGAGGGCGTGGACGATGCTTGGATCACGTGGTTGGACCAATACTTCACCATGCCTCTTGGCGCGTTGGTTTGTCGGTTGAGCAAAAGGTTTCGATGGCACATCGGGAACGCAAAGAAAACCGATTTTTCCGTTTGTTTTTCTGTTCGGTTCGTTTTTGGCGCCGTTGGACCAAAAGGACTGGCTCGGAAACCAAAGGAAAGGCTCGACTCACTTTTCTTCCAGTTCACCGTTGAAGCATCGCCTTTTCGTGTCGCCGTTGGTTTCTGAGTTTTTTGGGGGGGTGGAGGGGGCTTCCTTTGTTACGGGAAATGTCGGGAGCCTCATGGAAGCTCCGCTAGTCGGAAGGCGTCGAAAGGCGTCGAAAGGCTGAACAACTTTTGGGGCCTATTGGCAAAAAATGGGAAGATTGCCAGGTACGTACCCCAAGTAGTTACTTCATGGTTGTCGTTGGGATTGTATTTTTACAATTTTGCTTATTGTGGATTAGTGGTTGAAAACGTCAACATTTGTTGTGTTGCTCCCCTTCCAACGTCAACCAAGACCACCAGTGGCCCTCCGCTTTGTGTGAGTGTGCGCGTTTCTTGGGCAAATACTGTGGATGGACGAAAACCATTTCGCAACAGTTGGAACACATGATGTTGAAACCATTGTCCATTGGCATTGCGTTGGGGAAAACATCAGGAACCAGGGTTTCCCAGGTGATGCCCAAGAGGATTCGGCAACCATCCACAGCAGTGAAAAGTTTGGAGGTTTCAGAGAAACTTTTGCCAGACGCGGAGCTGACAAGCCCTTGAGCGTTGGGCCGACCCGTTGTTTAGCAGTTCAACCATTATGCAAACGAGAAACACACATGCAAGGATTTCACTGAACCGTTCGCACTCCGTTCGCACTCCGTTCGCAGTTGCCCCAGCTAAATGCAGGGAAGAGAAACCACCATTCCCACAAGTAATTTTCAACGAACCCTGCGAAGCCTGGACTCAGTTGAGCCAGGGTTGATCGGCTTATGCCCAATCACACACTAAGTTTTGCGCAGAAAACTGGCGGACTTTGCCGGCAACCGCATGAGTGAGGGCTTATAGTACTTGACTGCTTTCCCTGCAGTAATATGACGGCCTAAATGATAACACCATCCCAGTGCTTAAGCAGTTTCCCCTACCTACTGCATTGGTACCTGGACCCTCAATCTACCCGTAAACAGGAGTCATTGGCCTGATGGTGAATTCCCTTGGGTCGTTCCTTGGGTCAAAAGCGAATTCTGACACTTCATTCGCCAGAGTTGGGCAGCTTGTTTCCACAGCGAGCCCAGCGTTGGCCCCAAATTCGGCCTGCGGCGCTCTTTTTGTTGTTGTTGCTGTGATTGGAAATCGGCACGGATGGCTAGTTTCGGTGGCGGAAACTGGGGCCACTTTTCCCAATATTATCAGCGCCGAGAGACACATGGCGAACGTGCGAGTGATGTTTCCTTCCTGAAAAGTTCTGATTTTGCACATCCAAATAAGGACAATTTACATCCCGCAAAGCAGCTCGGAGCTGTTTCGGCTCGACATGTTTGTTTCACACCATTCTTGTTTTGGTTTGGTCCCTGAAACGGCACTTAAAAGGGATTAACAAATGTTTAATTTGTGCAGACCCCCTTAGCACCCAGGGGATGGTTATGATATCATTGAGTAGGGCCATGACAGCTGCTCGGCAAACCGACATGTTGTTGACTGTAGCTCTCAACTTGAACTCTACTTGTGCCTCTTTGGATATTTTGTTGAACGCTTATAGTGGCTTCTTGCTTTGTGAAAATAGTACGGCAGCCCGGGATTTATTCTTTTGGTTGTCTGGTGGCCCTTTTTGGTGATTACTGGGCCCGTGACCTCCGAGACAAGTTTGAAGACGTAGGTTGCGCGCTTTGCGCGCTACCTTTCGACGCGTGGCCTCGCCCGGGATTTGTCCGGAAAACTAGGGGTAGCTTCCTGTTCCATTCTTTCCAGGGATCCGAATCTTTCTAGAAAACCGCCGGAAACCCAGGGAAAAGGGCGATCGGTTTTTGAAAAGAAGGATGGTTGAAAAGAATGGAAAAGGAATCAACCCCTATAGAGGACTGCAAGTCCATGTGTGCTTGCCGAACGGGAAGAGCTGCTCCGTGTCACTGTTTCCGGAGTCGAGCATCCATGAGCTGAAGGCTGAGGCGGAACGGCAGTTCAATTGCCACTTCCTGAGGCTTGCTTTCCAAGGCAGCAGCTAGATCCGTCATCTTTATTGAGTGAGGTGGGCGTGCGAGACGGGCACAGTGTTGACGCAATCGTGCAGCAAGTGAAGATAGCCTCCACAGCGGAGGCTTGCGCACTCCATGTTCCTGGAGGCTCTGTGGTGACTTGGGGCCATCCTGACTCAGGCGGGGACAGCCGCCATGTGCAAGAGCGGTTGGTGCGGGTCCAGCACATCCAAGCAAATCGAGGTGCTTTTGCTGCCATCCTGGACGATGGTTCTGTGGTAACTTGGGGCCGTCCTGGCTGGGGTGGTGACAGCAGCCAGGTGCAAGAGCAGCTCGTGGGCGTTTGGCAAATCCAAGCAAATCATTATGCTTTTGCCGCCATCCTGGATGACGGTTCTGTGGTGAGTTGGGGAAAGCCAGAGTGTGGCTGTGACAGCAGCCAAGTGCGAGACCAGTTGGTGCGAGTCCAGCAGATCCAAGCAAATGCCAGTGCCTTTGCTGCCATTGTGGACGGCGGCTTTGCGGTGACGTGGGGCACTCCTCAGACTGGCGGTGACAGCAGGCGTGTGCGAGAGCACTTGGTGCGAGTGCAGCGGATCCAAACATCTGGAGCAGCGTGTGCTGCCATCCTGCAGGATGGCTCGGTGGGAACTTGGGGCAATCCTCGCTTTGGCGGTGACAGCCATGTTGGAGAGCAGTTAGTGCGGGTCCAGCGGATCCAAGCAACGGATGGTGCATTTGCTGCCATCTTGGATGGCGGCGCTGTGGTAACTTGGGGCAATCCTCGTTTTGGCGGTGACAGCAGCCATGTTGGAGAGCAGCTAGTGCGGGTCCAGCGGATTCAAGCAACTGCTCAAGGAGGTGTTGCTGCCATTCGAGACGACGGCTCCGTGGTAACTTGGGGTGATCGACAGGCTGGCGGTGATAGCAGCCAAGTGCAACAGCAGCTGGTGCGCGTCCAGCAGATCCAAGCGACAGGTGCAAGAGCAGTTGGCGCAAGTGCGGCACATCCAATGGACCTTTTGGGCTTTTGCTGCTCTCTTGCAGGACGGCTCTGAGGTAACTTGGGGCAAGCCCGAGGCTGGTGGTGACAGCAGTCAGGTTCAGTCACAACTGCACTGGTTGTGAGAGCCCTGCGCCAGTCCGACAGAAAAAATAATTTCCCCCGCCAGCGCGCGTAAGGGGAGCCGTTGGGTGGTGAAGATGACTTCAATATTCAAAGTGAACGCCAGACACGTGCTACCATGCCGCAAAACCAACTACTGTTTTGGCGGTTCCTGCCACACTTCTGCTCAGCTGGTTTTCACCATGAGTCTAAACCTGATCCCTTAAACTACTCCCAAAAAATCGACATCACCCCGTGCTGTTAGGTTGTTCTTTCGGGTCCAGGTAGTGAGTTGAAAACAAGACGAGCATTTCTTCTCGGTCTTGGGCTGCCCTCTTTGGTCCCCAAAGGCTCCCCGTTTTTGACCATCAACAAGTTTTCTTCCAGGTTTTCGCGCAGGCAGCGAGGAGGGTTCTTTTTGGGGTTTGAAATCCGGGGCTTTTAAATAGCCACTTTTTGGAGGGTGTGTTTTTTCTCCAATTTCCACCCCTACTTGGATGTTTATTAGCCGCTCGGGACAACCCCCGAGTAATAGCAGGGTTTACCCCACTTAAGTGGACTTATAAGTGAGTTATAGCCGAGGCTACCGTTTCAAGTTGCAATCTCGGCCGAACACCCAAGTACCTATATCTTCCCAAATTTGCTTCAAGTCTGTGTTCCACGAATCCTTTTCGAGGCTGGACTTTTGGGCATCGGTTTTGGGCATTGCGGTTGGTTCTTTGGAGAACATATATATCAAACTCTGATGATTGCTCTCAGGATTATGACTGGAGCCTGCAATGCAGGCCCGGGCCCTTCAATGAAGAACTCGGACCAATTCCTCGGCCCGGATAGAAACCAACTCATGTTACCGGAGGTCGCCTCAGATGATCTCCGAAAGGTCATCTCGTGAGAGCTTTGAGGTTAGCTGATTGATGGGACGTTCAAATCCATCCTCAAGTCTTATGCCCCCCGATTCAACCAAAAACGGTTACCCTATGGGTCCGGAGATGGAAACCTGGGGGAGAATCCTCCAAAATTGACGTGCTTTTCGCCACCCCGGTTTAGCAGCTCGGGGTATGGTACCGGAATCCCTGAATTCTGCATACCAAGCTCCGGCACCCTTAGGGTATACCCCCGAAAGCTCCAGATACCCACTTGGTTTAGGGTATCATGCTATCCTCGGACTAAAACATAGTTTATGTACCATACACCAGGGCTTGTTCACCAAATGCGTTTAGGTCAATTAAACCACTAGGACCGCAGGTTTTAGTCCATGCTTCCATTTACAAAAGTTCCACTTTGGGTACCTTTTTTTGACCCACAGCCAAATCATGCCCGAAACAAGCTAGCTTCTAGTGGATGAGCCTGAGGTATGAGGACGTGGGGGCTGAAACAGATGAGCCCGCATATCCGGCGGAGGAGTCGAGCTGAATCCCGCTGTGGATCTCCATCCTGTTGAAATCAGCGGGTGCAGAGGTGCTGTCGGCCTAAACGCCTACCCTCCCAAACGCAAAGATGCAACCAATTAAGAAGAGCCTGGATCGCCAGTTGCGATCGCTTTTTCTATGAACTTTACCCCAAAACCACGCAACAGTGACTGAAAAAAGCGATCGCAGCTTGGCTATCTAGGAGGGTCAAGTTCCTCCAGGAAAGTTTTCACCGGGTCTGTGTTTTTGGAAGGGTAAAAGCTTGCATATAGGCCTGGGCTTCGGAACAAAACTCTCCGGAACAGTGCTCCCCTTTTTGCGAGGAGAGGCGTTTGATTTGTACACAGAAAAATACAAAACAAATAAATATCCGAATAAATTCCCAAAATTTCCCAAAATTCCTTCGAAATTTCGGCAAAATTTCAAAACCTTCCGAGCCGCACAAAAAAACGAAAACTTATACCATAAAAAAAAAAAAAATGCTCGTCGTAACAAGAGGGTGCCCCTTCTTGGTCTACGTTTAGTGGCCGTGATCACCATTCATCTTGGGTTTCTTTGCTCAATTGGTGCCCCTTTTAAATTGGATTCTGTGTCATGGAACAACTGGGGCGTTTCGCGAAGCTCTATGGGAGAGTGGCCGGGTAGTTTGGGACTTTTTGGGGGCGCATGCCACTATTCCTCGCAGAAATGGAAGCAGATGTGTGTAGAAGCCATGCGTGTTGTTTCCGTTGCTGTCGCAAAGCGCCGCCTCTGACTTTGAGCTGGCTTCGGCTGGTTGAGGAGCAACGGCATGGTTGCTGGCCAAAAGGAGCCAGTCAATGTTGTCAGCCAATGTCGAAAGACAAAAGGAGTACCTTGGGTGGGCTGAAACTTGGGAAACAACCTGTCTAGATCCTCAAATTACGCATAAAAAAGGAAACCACCTGCCCACCGCAAGTTATTTTGGCCATAGCCCTTTTTAGGGGTCGGAGCGGTCCAAGGACTTTTGCATCGGCCTCCTCAGGAATCCCCGGATGTTGCACCTTACGTTTCAATCAGAGACGGAGATCCAGACCGCCCGCTGATCAAGGCTGCATTCGGGTTCCAGCTTACATGAAATCCAAAGACACGCACATGGCAATGCGCATCGGGGGGTATCCTTTGCAGGTTTGATCTCAAAGGATGGAACGAGGCAAACGAGTCGCCCCTTCCTTTTGGAAACCGATGGTTGTGTTCTTTGAAGAAAGCCGAGCACGTTCTTACACAACGGTTAGCCTGAAGCAGGATACAGCTGATAGCCAACCACAAGCTAGTTAGTTTTTTCGTTAGGCTTCAGTTTTGCTGGATGGGTCTGTTTGTTTGTGGAGGGTCTCCCGTTTTTGTTGCTTTTTTAGGCAAACCGAAGGCAACACTTTTGGGGGTTGGGTCTGTCTTGTTTGGAGTCTCCTGTTCTTGTCTTTGGTTTAGGCAAACCGAAGGAACGCCAACATTTCTTGGGGGTCGCACCCGCATGGTTTGTTTCCAACCTATTGCCCAGCCGCAGGTACTGGCAATGGGCCGGCGCCTCAAATATGAGTCTCCGGGACGTTTGGCATGGGCTCTTGAAAAGAAGTACTTCTCGTCTATATATATATATATATATATATATGTATACCTAGACCCTCCAGGTGTGCATTTGTTTCCGCTGCTTGCTGAAAAAAATCAATATGTTGTGTGGTTTGCTCCAAAAAGTGCCTTTTCCTTTTTAGAAGTGCTCAACATCTTGCCAGAACGTGCTCGGCAAATGTCGCTTTTTGGTCGGGTTCTTTCCCTTTCAGCCAAGCCCCAAAAATGCGGGACTTTGTGAAATTCAGATGCCGGAGCCTGAGCGATAGGCCCTCAATGCTTACAAGGCGAATCGACAAAAAACAACCCAAATGCTTTATGCTTTCTTTCCCCCTTTGTCCAAACTGCCTGGACCCCAAAGGACCGATTCCTTTTTTCCGCCTTTTGGCCCCAAAAAAGAAGGGGGTACACAGGCAGAGATAAAAAATCGGGATCGGTCCTTTGGTGCAGATGATTGGCTTCCGGCTCCTTGGGCCGCTGAACCCGGTCATGCTAATTCCATCTGAGCCCTCAAAGCCAGTTGCGATCGCTTTTTTCCGTGAGCTTTACCCAGCGCAACTTGGCTATCTGGGCAGTTTTGAGTTGGCAGTTCCTGAGGGGTCCAGGGCGGCTGGCCGTAGGCCCTGCACTTGCTGCGCCAGCTCCCCTCTTTGCGCTTGGCCAGTGGCGCTGTGTGCTTCGGGGCCTGCGCTCGGAGACTCGGAGCGGGAGGGTGTGTGTGGGTGTTTTTTTTGTTTTTTTTTTCTTTTTTTTTTGTTTTTTTTCCGAGTTCCGGAGCCGAAACGAGGCGAAGCGCGGGGGAAATCGTTCCCAACACCTCTGCGACCCGAAGGAGCGGGGCCCCATGGGTCGCCGCCCCAAAGTTGGGGGAATTTGGGGCTTCCACTTGAGCCAGTGATTTTTCACTTTCAAACGGCTGGTGCCAATGTGGTTCGTGCTTAGGAATCTTCCCTCTGGTGACTGCAAACAGCAAGATCTTTTTGTATAAAACCAACACACTGAGGGTTGGGAATCTGCTATTCCCGATGCTGCAAGATTCGTTCCCATAGAATGTGGACCGCTGTGGGGGATCCTGTTACTCGGTGCTTTGTTGTTTTGTTCTTTGTGCACCCACTTCCTTTTTCAGACTGGTGGCTAACCTGGTGGTTAGCCACCTGGGTTGCAAACCACTGGCTGACCCAGTCATTGGGTTATAACCCAAGAGGCTAGCCACCTGGACGAACACCAAAGTAGGCTCCAACACCCCTTCCCCTAACCCTTCCCCCCACCGTTTCCTCCAAATAATTTGATGTTATCGCTACTTACAGTGTGTGTCACCCAAAAAGGTGGATGCCTTTTGGATCTCCATAACCCAGGTGGCGCGTCCACTTCCTGCACCCAAAAAGCTGGAAGTTTCCACGTGTTCGCCTTTTTTTGGGTTTCGGTCTCCATCACACCGTTCAGGTCCCCCAGCTAGGTGCCCTTTTACCGTTTCTTTTTTGGGGGAGATGCGGTTCCCCTACTAAAATACTACAGAAAACCTCGGGTACCCTTGTTCCAAGCTCTCAAATCTGGGGGACCTAGCCGTGCAGCGAAGCCAAAGATCCGCGCTGAGGTCAAGGCAATGGAGTCCGCCATGCAATGGCCATGGGCCCGGGGACCCGGAAGTAACGGGCTCCTTTTTTCTCGAAAGGCGGGAGGGGTGAAGCTTCTCTCGAAAAAATAGACCATGTTGGGTCCCACCAATGGGGGGGGGGCGTTCTCTTCAAATCATGGGGTTTATGTGTTGGTGAATATCTGCTGTGGTGGCATAATTAATTCCGAAGACTCAAATCACTCAATGGACTATGCTGTACGCCAACGAGATCGCTTTTCCCACAGGTGATGTTTCAAGACCACCCTGCAACGAACAAGTGTATATGTGCCTACATGAAACCACCAGGGTTTCATGGGATGTGTGTAAAAAAACTGAATACAGAGCCAAGTACACAAAAAGAAATCAATAAATAGATAAAACGAGTAAATAAGCATACATGTCTACTTGTACGTACATACATATATATGTATATATATATATGTGTTTATGTATAGTTCTTGAGTGACGGTGGATGGATATCCCACAAACTCTGCTGGGAACCCATCTTAGCACAAACTGATCGAAGCAGGCCACGCAGCTCTTGCAGCACCAGCAGGAGCAGGGCATTCAGTGCGAAAGCCCAGCTGGGCAAGTGGACGGGCGGCGGAAGCAGATGCTTTCGCCTCCGAAAGGGTACAAGGGGCTAGCGTCTACTAATAAGATTTGATCGATTCCCTGCAGCGACTTGAAAAAAATCTAAAAAACACCAACGCGTGTGCCGGGCTACTTGGTTTGAATTTGAAGGGGAAGCAAAAAATTGGACGCCAACCGCCTGGAGGGATCCTGCTGGATTTTTGGAACAGGAGTCAACTTCGTTGGTCTTGGGGTGGCCTTCATTGGTTTGCTTTAAAGCGAAGCTCATATGTTCACGAGGTTAGGTATGGGTAGCGTTGAATGATCTATCCCTGAGTGGTTCTGACAAATTGACAGGGCGCTGTGTATGTCCTGCTAAGCATCACCAGCCACCCGATGCTGAGACTCGTCCCAGAACCCCCATCAAAAGGAGGTTTGGGAATGCAAGCGGATTGTCAAAAGTAAATAGGGAAACTGCCCACATATGCCCTGCAGGATGTGCCAACCCTAGTTCCTTGAACGTGTTTCAAAGGATGTGAAGTGATGGAGATGTGTTAACATGTGCCATGAATTGGTTGGTTTTCCTTTTGCCAGATCCGACGCTCGGCCAAATGGAACAAGTCGGCCTGCTCAAAGCAGAGGATGATCGCTTCGCCTGTTGGGTTGGTCGTCTTTTTGTTGGCTCGGTACCCCTTTTGGTTGCCCGGCCTGCCTGCATTCGAGACTCAAAGTGCACCAATCATTGTGCAAGCCTCAGCGCCGATTCGAATCGGGCTCCAGCGCACATGCGAATCCGTGCAGTCTGCGGGCGACGGGTGCGCGAGAGCAAGCAAGGGCACTCATTGGTGCATGGAATGTCGCATCTCGTAGCGCGCTTTATTCGGTTTTAGCACACGGAGGTTTCTCCTCATGTTGGCGTACATGGCCATGATATGTCCCAATGTTCAGCTTCAGGCTTGATCATTTCACTTGATACTTGAAGATCCAGTTGCCAAATCGAATCGAATGGATTTGACCAGGTTGCAGCCTGTTCCACTGTCAGAAGAGATGCAATGGATTTTGGCAGACGGTCCCATTGGGAGATGTGCTTGGCGCGTCTCGAAGCCTTCGGACCCCAAACCAAGTTTGTTGGATCTCCGTTTAGCTTTCAAAGTTCGTTGTTCCGTTTGCGGGCGGAACGCCGCATTATCATTCCACATTTTTTTCAACCATCGTTCTTTTCAAGAACGGATCCCTGGAACAAATGGTTACAGGAGGCTGCCCCGCCGCTAGGCAGTTAGTTTTCCCACGCGAAGCCACGGCTTGGGAGCGCTTGGGATGCACCAGGCCGGAGGTCTTGCTGATACTTGAACATTCGGGGATTCGACGTCCACACTTCATGCTTGTTGGGAGAAACATCCTACATTCTGCAGGGCTCCTTAAAAGATCTCCATTTCGCCACCATTTGAAACATGTTGCTTTTTCAACACCAAAGTAAAGGGAACCCATCATTTACAAGGCAATGTTCAGGTGTATAATGTATACGGATCCCTGCTCTGGCTTATTGTGGTTTAGTGGGAAATCCTCACTGAAGTGCAAACAGTGAATCTTTGCTCCCCTTCCAACGTCAACCAAGACTTCCCCTCACCTAGCAGGAAGACCATCAAATTTGGATGTGAGACCCTACCCCGTAGCCTCCAAATACCTGGCCGTTTTTCAGGGTATCATGTCGCAGGTCCCGCACAGTACCTGGGAACCTGTAATTGACCCCAAACCGCAATTTGTGGGTGCCAAGGGGCCGTTTGGGTTCGGGGCCCCTTTTGTCGGATCCCTCTTTTGGTTGTTTGAAGGCGTTGCCAGAAATGCCACCCTTTCGGGTCCAAAAAGAGATCCGACAAGAACTCTCTGCCTCTGGGTACGAGCTCCCCAGAACTGTTGCCGTGCCCGGCTTCAAACCGAAATCCAGCCGCACTCCAAGGAGGAAAACGCCGAAGATGATCACCAGATGTTTCTTCTTCCGGGCAGAAGCGACGGGTTTGGCTCAAAACCGTGTCCCTTCGCTGCCGCGGGTTCAAGCAGCGACAAAGGGTACCAACGAAAAGACATCTCCAAGTCCCAAGGTGGGTCCATCATTTTGAGAAACACAAAGTGGGGTTCCCTATGGTTCCCTTTTTAATTTTGGGGTCCCCTCTTTCTTTTTATTGTTTGCTTTTTTGGGGTTCCCTTTGTTTTCCACTACCAGGCAAAAACATTTATTTTCTTTGCTGGGGTCCTAATTCCCGCCAAGAGTTTTGGTAAGATCAAGTAAGCAATTCCCGCCTTGGCGGCTACCAAGATCCGTGGCCGGGGTCCCCAAATGGATTTGTTTTTCGCGGTGCGCTACCTGCTTTCATAGGGTTTGTAGTCAGATTTATGTAAACCTTGATAGCCTTGTAGGGTTTGTAAGTCATAGGGTTTATAGCCCATGGAACCCTTATAAACCCTTTATAACCCATGGAAAAACAGTCAATGAGTTTTGGGGGGCTGCATTGTCCTTTTTGAACCTTGAACAGTCGCAACCCGCTCCCGTCCACGGAGCCTGATTCGAGTGGAACCTTTTAGAGGCCCGAAGAATCCGCAGGCACGTTCCACGGATGGGCAAATGATTCTCAGTTGTCCAAAGCCGACCTTTTGGTTTTGCTTGGTCTATGTTTAGTCATGCCCCCAAAAAGGTGAACTTTTTATTTCTGGGGCCCTTTTGCAGTAAACAAGAAGAGCAACTCGGCCCTTGACCCAAGGCGTTTGGCTCGCAACCGCTTGCCAGGAGTCGCTTGACCACGGTGCTGCAATGGCCTCAGCCTGCGTAGCCTCGCAGACAGTGGTGCCCAGTTTCCTTCGTTTTTGTGTGTCGGGGGGGGGGGTTCTCTTGAAAATCGGTTACCAACTGAGTGCGAAGGTGTTTTTCCGCGCGGACATCCACTGGGGGTTTGGGCAGTTTTTGCCGCCTGCGCCTATCGACTTGCCTCATGGAGGCTCAAGCGCTGGATGCTGCAGACAGAGAGATGTGTCCAAAAGTGTGCACCAGGCCTGCCAAAAAATGACCCGGAGATGTTCACAAGGAAGCTTCACTTTGTTAAAAGGGGGATGGGGGAATGCAGGCTTAGCATAGAGTTCGAGTTGTGCATGGAAAGGTGTCAATGACCTTCCGGTTCTGGAAAAAAGACCCAGGCTGAGACATTCTAACGCGCAACTTGACTCCGGCACCCGACCGGAATTGATCCAAACACAACACATTCAATGCTCTACCCGGTAGCCTTGTGCGCGAGCGTGTTCTGGTTGAATCTAATTCTTGGTTGGTTTTGGCTTCCTGGCAGCTTCGATTTTTTTTGGGTGGCAACCCTAGATTTTGCAGTTTCATGTTTTTTTTTTGGAACTTGATGTGTTGAGTCATTCTTCAAGCGCTCCAAAGCGATTCCCCTCCAAGCCCTGCATTGCGATAGGCGAGCAGAACCCGTCGCAATAAACGTGGCTCGGCTTGGCTGTAACGGGGCTGGATCTTTGACCTGAATAACTTGTTGGTTGGACTTCCGCAATTTCCCGCACCAAGCCACTCACCTCCCGACTTCCTGCACTTCACACATATTTTAGTGACGAACGAAACATGCTCGGACGTTGGTTTACGCAACCCACTCAGGAAAACGCTTGACTATTGTTGGCAGAATTTCAGTTTTTCGGTTTTTGGGTTAGCTGTTCATTTTAGTTGTCTGCAAAACAAATCTTTGCTTTTGCAGAACAAATGCATACCAAGTTGGTGGGATAAAGCAGACTTCAACGTTTTCTCACGGGCAACGAGTCTCGCGAAGAAATCGCCGGGGCCGCTTCCCCGGCGTCGGGCCATGGAATGGCGTTGCTGCTCCTGGCGCTTGCCACGGCGGAGGGCCGGGTGACGACCACCGCTCAGCCGCGAGCTTCAAGCGGTTTAGGTGGCAGGAAACCCACAACTCGGTATCAAAGCGGAGGCGAATCGACCGATCGGAATGACCTTTTTCAGAATTTTCCTTTGTTGGGGTCTGTCTTTCGTCATGCCCCCCGAAAAAGCTGATCACCTTGTATTTGTGGGTCCCTAAAGGGGCAATTGAAATTGAGCCTTTGGGTGGAGTTGAACGTCTGGTTGCGGGCAAATGGGAAGCTACCCCCAGAACACCTCCAGGTCACCCGTTCCTTTTTTTGGTTGCGCGGGGGAAGGCGAGAGAGGAGAGGGGATCACGGCCTTAGATGAACCGGACAAAAACAAGGGCCACACGAAAACTTCCCAGCTACAGTGCAAAAGGGTGTTGTTCCGAATGTTCAGAGAATCACTTGGGAATCCACTAGCTCCAACCTTTAGCTTCCAAGAAAAAAACTATGCTTTCCCACTCAAACAGTTAAACTTCTCGCACAGAAGGGCAATAGCCACCAAGTAACATGATTAGCCTTTGACTTGGGAATCCAGCGACGCACCTTTGCCTCATTTTACAGGCCTGGCATTTCCATCGATGGGCTGTGCTACTGCAGGAATTGCAGACGCATCGACCACATCTATGCGTCTGGCAAGGACGGCAAATTGCTGCAACATTAGTTTGTGGCACACCCCGGCTTGGTTGAAGAATAGGGGGTGTCCCACTTTTTACGGGTAAACCTTGGCCTCGTAGGAGCATCCCCCCAATCGTCCATCGGATGTATGAATCCGAGTCAAGATGTATCCATGACTTCAAGTGAGCATGCGCAGCTTGACATTGAAATGTGACGGGTAAAAAACCTCCAACATTCAACTATTCCAGTTGCCGATGTTTGACTTGTATCCTTTCTTGCCCTTTAGTCCCGTGCTTACCCGTTGGAAAGACCATTTTAGTGGTAAACACACAAACATCAGACATTTCCTGGCCAACCCACATTTTTTTGCAGGCCGTTTGAGTGGTAAACAATAAATTCAGACAAACATTTTTAGAGGTAAACACACAATCAAGCCACTATTTGTTAGACCATTTTCTGCCCAGTCCGCTTGTTCAACTAGGTCCCCCAGTAGTACCCTTTTACCCTTTCTTGGGGGAAAAATTCCCCTACTAAAATAGACAACAGAGAAAAAAGTCGGGTACCAACTTATTCTAACCTCTCAAATCTGGAGGACCTAGTCAATCTTGGAACCCCTGAAGCCCAGTGATCGGTTCCCCGATTCGCCTCGCTTCGCGGCCGAAGCCTTAGGACCTCTGCGAGCGCATGTGGGGCTCGGCCTTCCGGTATGAGGCCAACGCGGCCCGGCTGAAGGCTTCAAGCCTCTGGCGCTGGAGAATTGGATTCCCCAAATGACATACCTCTTAAAAACACAACTGTTCAACTTTTTGGGCAACATGGGCTATATGTCTGTAAAAGATTAACTTCCCCATGGCTTGGAGTTTTAAGGGGTCCCGATTTCGCCCAAAGTGGATTTGTTCGGAGCTCCGTGTTAGAAAACCACCCCCAAAAAGGGTACCCGCTGAGCTAGTCGAACCAAGTACCGGGACTTGGCGGAGGATTCAAAGCCAAGGAGAGCCAGGGCTACACCATGTGGTTCTTCGACGCCTCGAACCCCAACGATGCGGTGTCGGGCGAGCAGCCACCGTCCAGCTGCAACCTGCAAGACCACAAGGAACGGGCAAATCGACGTTTTTTTTTTTTTTTATTTTTTGTGCGGGTTCCTGGTTTGTTTGCAAGGGTTTTCGTGTGCCAATTTCATGTTTAGATTCTGCATGAAATGGCCGCAAAACACCCTAGAGAAGCTCTTGTCCTGTAGAATTTCCCGTATCCCAACCCTTTGGCCTTCTTGTTTTGCAGAACAATCACTGTTTGCGGGGCGGTTGTGCACGCGAATGATTTTGCCCCAGACCTGCAGAGAGCGGCCCTGGGTTGGGGTTCTGGCAGGCTTCCGGGTTGCTGTGCACCTGGGCATGTTCCGTTTGGTCGGTGTTTTCCTTTGAGAGCAGCTACCCGAAACAAGGGCAAAGGGAGAAAGCAGAGGTCAATGGCGAGTTAACCATCTTTAGAAGCTTTAGGTTTAATATGAATTATAATCATAAACCTCTAGGACAATCTTGGCAGAACCAAAACCCCTTGTGTCAATTTTGGGTGGTTCTTCAGGCCTTTCCCCAGATCTCGCGGAGCATCCCTTAGAAATTAGAAAGGTGAAACTAGCTATGCCCATCTGAACAACACCGCTTTCTCCAATACACTTCTTTTATTGGACTCACCAAGGCCAACAAAGCAAGTCGAGATGACCTTTCGCAGTTTTTCCGTGCATTTTAAGGGGCCCCGAAAGTGATCACTTTTTTGATTTCTGGGTCCTGAAAGGGGCAAGTGATGGGCTTTTGGGCAACTGAGGCAACCAACCACCCGCCAGCCAGCCAGCCCAAACCAACAAACCAAACCAACCCAAAACAAGCCAAACCAAACCAAACCAAACCAAACCAAACCAAACCAACCACTTCTTTGGTACCAACCGCCATTTGGTGAATTCACATCACGTCTTGCCCTCGCTTTTTAGGACGTGCCCTCGCCGGAGCCGGCGCTGTTTGCGGAGTGCCACCCATGGCGTTTCAAGTCCTGCTGCTCCAAGGCCAAGGCGGGGAGAATCATCAGACTGAGATGTCGGTCCCTGAAGCCACCCACCTGGATCCCCAGTGCCCAACTATTTTCCAGCTACTTGTGCAAAATTACGGGCTACTGGTGGGGTTCCAGTGGCTGGAACAAAGTGGCAGGCAGAGGCTTCAGCCAGAATCAAAACGCGGAAACGTGAAGGGACAATCCCCATAGGTGCGGATATCCGCCTTAACTCTTTACATGGCTTTTGGGTGCACCAGTTTTGTACCACCCAGAGGCTCCCACCGCCAACCTCAAGATGGCCCCAAGTCACACCCAAGTCACAGAGCCTTCTGCCGCAAACATCGCGAAAGCTTTCTTTGTACCCAGAGTCTCCAATTCGATGGATTTTTTGGGGGCCTTACAACCTGGCTTTGAGACCCCCAACCACCTCCGCGGGGTCTACTGGAGGGGTCGGGTCTTCCATTCATTGAAAGCCCCAGCAGCCTTTAATTTGGGCACCAAAAAACCGTCGAACAACGACACACCACTTGCCACTTGGCCCAAAAGCTGCTTACGAAGCTTCCTGGCATCCAGCCTTGCGCCCATCAAAGTCACCTGTGGATGGTTGCGACACCCGCTTCTGGGACCGCTTGGAAAGCATGGTTGAAGCCAGAACGTGTTGCTGTTATTTACGTTGGGGAATCCGAAGCCGGGGTTTCTGAACGGTGGTGCGACGTGGATTTCGTCCATTCACAGTAGATGTTTTGTTGAAAACCATCTCCAGGAAGTTGTCCCCAAATACCCACAGCAACCAGGGGTTTGGACTAAATTGCTGGATGTTTTCCTGGAGATGGTTCCGTTTGGGAGGAAGGAACATGTCCTTGGTTGTGCGTTTGTTTAAATAAGAGCTTTTTAGGTTGGGTATGGAGACCAAAAGGAAAACCTTCACGTGTTGGGGTCCCCTTTCAGCCTTTCTGTTGGGTCGGGAAACCCATTCAACGTCAACTACAAAAAGGGATGGTGCCTGGAATCCTTTGCTTTGTGTGGCAACACTAGGCCACCTTTCTCAACTTTGCAGCTGGGGAGCTTTGTGTCCTTTCCGAGGAGAAACCTTGCGGTGCCTGGAATTCTTTCTGGGAAACCCAAAGGAGCTCCAGCCGAGGGGTTAAGGATTTGACCTCCGCGGTGTTGTTAGGTTTCAATTTCGCCTACCTGGACCCGAAGAAACTACCCATAAGAAAGGGCAATAATCCATTCTCACGGGTAGTTTGAGGGTCCAGGTACCCTAAAATAGACCCCGCTTGGGTTTGCAGTGGTGGCAGGAGGAGACTCTTTCGACGAAGGCTGCAACTTGAGAGGCGCAAATAGTCCGGCCCCTGGTTGATAGAAGCAACATGTCTTCAGTTAGGGATTCAGTTTTGAGATGCTTTGAAACGCACACATGGTTTTTAAAGGCCGGGTTGGTGTTTACAAGAACTGTTGCCATGTGGTTGGTTTTTAGTATAGGAAGTGCTATTTTCAGTGCACCCAAGGTCCAAAGAAATGTGTGGCCCCCTTCCGGTCGCAGCTTCAGGTGAATTCCATGGACGCTCTAAAGCAGAGCTTTGGAGAAACTTGGCACGCAGCTGAGGGCTGAGGTTGTCCCAGGCCGGGTTTCCCTTTTTTTCAACTCTGATATCTGGATTCAGATGGGGTTTCTATGGGCCCATGCAGTCAGTTTTTGATCCTTGCATGAGGAAAAGCAAAAAGCGAAGGAATTCTGGTGGATCCCAGCCATTCCCTTAGCTTTTTAGCTTCTCAGTGGGGTATTAAAAGTTAAACCTTTAGCGGGGGATTTGAGGACTCAGTTTCACCATGCAGTAAACCCAGTCACCCATGGTGGTTGGTTCTGGACCCTGGTGCCCTTGAAAATTTGGTAAGCAAAACCGAAAGTTATTGGAGACATTCCCTTTTTTGAAGGGATCAATTCCCGTTTTCATGGGAGAAGCTCCTTTTCTAAAAGGGTTGTTTGAGGGTCCAGGTGTCTTTTTTGGCTGCAGAAAGTGCTCCCAATCAAAGAAGCCCCTGAAGTGCACTCGGTGTTGGTTTTTTCCCTTCCTGATCCCCGATTTTCAAGGTACCTCTGAATTGGTGGTTTACAGTGGTGGTTTGAGGATTTGGACTTGCCAAACCGGGCTCTAAACCAATTCCTGCACGTCTTCCTTTTGGGGCGGCCGAAAACGCGGTCCCAACCCAATCCCCGACCGAACTCCGAGGCCCAGTTTCACTGGGACCGCTGCGGGCCGGTGTCCCAAGAGTGCGAGCGCTTCTTCGTGCAGGAGGCCTGCTTCTACGCGTCTTAGCTCATCCCTTTGGTGGTTTGGATTGGTGGTTTGGGGATTTGAACCCGACCTTCCGGATTTCGTTGAAGGAAGCCAGAATCGATGAGTTCTAAAGGTTGGTCATTCCCTTATTTTCTGCTGAGAACCAGCAAGACGCATGGTCCATCACCGCCTTTTCCTTCTTTCGGGGCGCAAGCAATCTGAGGAATGCGATCCCAACGTGGGTCTCTACCGCAAGTACCACAGAGGCATCTACGACCCCCGCTGTGATGCGAAGAGCAAGGCCTACAGCCCCATGTACGCTGCCAGCCGCCTTTGCTACTGGGCCTATAGCGGGTTGGCTCCATGTCGAACATTTGGTTGCCTCCAAAAGTGGCGGTTTCAACGGAAACCACCAGTAAATCAGAACTTTTGAGGGGGAAATCTAGTGCCCCCTGATGGTTACGTTCTTGGTTTCGGCCTTTTTCCTGTCACGCAACTCCCACACGAGGCGTCCCGGGCACGGCCCAATATTACTTGCAAGGGTGGGTCGACTTTTCGGGTCACCAAGGGAAGCTGATTGGCACGGAGATCTTCCACCACCAGGGTCCATATGGCCATGAATTTTATTGAGGAACCACCTCCAAATAGTTGGTGGACATAAATCACCACCTAAATGGTGTCCACCACAGGGTCCCTCATTAAAATTCACACCCATATTGGTTTACTGGGTCCGTTGAAGTGGTGGCGTTGCTTTTGTTTCCCCTTTCTTTTCTGAAAGCTAGGGGTCGATGGGCCGACAGAACAAGGCTCCGGAGTGGTCGGCAGCAAGAGGGTTCCGGAACAGTTCCCGGTTGCTGTTGGGGATGCCACTTGACCTTCTTTGTGGAGAACGAGGATGTCACTAATGGACACAGGTTTAGTCAGGCGTTCCTGCATTAAGTTCTGTCCAGTATCCAGTCTGTTGCATTGAGGATATCACTTTAATGAACTCAGTTGAATGGCTGGTGAGAAAAATGGTTGGTGTTTGCTCACATGCTAACCTGGTACAGTCCTGGTACAGCATGGGTTTTGAGAATTGGCAACTTGTCTTCCAAAGCTGTCCAGAGTGAATCAGGTAACCCTAATGGTGGTTTGGATTGGTGTTTTGGGGATTTGAACCCTGGTTCTTGTAGAGGGTGAATGGGAACCCATCCCGAACCGCTCCAATTCACCAAGTAGGGAAGCGTTGAATGCAGGGTGCAAGTGCGTGCACGTGTCTTTTGAGGGTACCCGTTTCACCTAAACGATTTAGGGGGGAGCCACAAGGTATACGTGCTATTTACTGAAGAAATTGGCCTGCTGTTTCCCACTGATTCCGCGCGAAAAACACACGTGGACTTGTTTGAAACTCAGGGAAGCCCAACCGTGGTTGGACTCCTGACTGGTTTCCTTCAAAACCAGCTAAAAGGCCGGTTCCCAGAAAGAAAACACATACAACAGTCGTGGGTGGTGTCCGACTTGAGTTGTCCTTTCGCATCAAGTGCGCCAGTGCTGTTGAAATGCACTCATACCTGGTGATTTCCAATTTGATTCTCATTCGGGTGGCTTGTCCTTCCACTTGAGTTTGCGTCAAAACAGCGATTGGGGCCCAACATGCGTGGTTTCCCTTCGGTTTCTGGTCAAATCCAAAAGCTCAACAAGACACATAAATCCAACAACTCAACACGGCACAAACCCATGTCTTTGGCGCGTTGGGCAGCAAACCCAAAACGCCCAAAATTCGGGGAACCCTTTTCGCAAGAAACCGGCCTAGGCAGCCACAACACGTGGGAGCTTCACCAGATGCCCATCAAGGCATCCTACTGCCACTTTGGATTTCTCCGATTTCGCTGGGATCGCTTGGCTTCCATCTGAAGAAGATGGTCTATTCCTGGAGTCTCCTTCTGACCCTGAAAGTGGGTCAATGACCCCCTGATTTTGGGGTTCATGACCAACCATTTTTGAAGGGTCAGAAGGAGACTCCAGGTTTTCCCAAGGTTTTTTGGGGGAATCTATCGCTACTGGAAATATATTTTTTTCCAGGGGTCTTAACCAAATGGAAGTTGGTTGTTAACAAATGGAATTCGAGCCGCGATTTTTGGTTGGCATTTAAAGGGGAGGCAACGCATTGATATTCGTTGGTTTTTGGTTAGCCGCAAATTGCTGGTTTTTTGGTTGGCATTTTGGGCCACTCCAACTTGAGAAACGCCTACTCAGGGATCTGCAATTCCTATGTCACCGTTTTCCGGGGCATGGAGTTATTGCACCTCAGTTGCCCAAGGCGAATCGACCTTCTGAGCTTTTGGTTTTTCCTTTTGGGCAACCAGTTTTTGTACAGGTCCCAAACGCTGATCACGGTCCCACCAGTTCTACAGCATGAGGAGCTCTCGGCAGAATGAAGTTTTCGATTGGGAAAGCACCAGGCCATAGACTCCAGATCACGGGATACGCCATTTCCCGCCGAGCCTCGAGCTTCCACTAGTTGTTGCCATGGGTGCGGTTGCCATCAAATGGGGCTCCTCCAAAAAGTGAACCCGGAGGATTTTTGGGAAAAGGCCCATGAATTCAACTGGTGAATAAGTCAGGGATCATCGCGCGGACACCACCTTACGGTCCATGCTTGCATTCTGCAGCCCCACGTGCAGGGTGGGCGGGCTTTTTTTGAGGCCCCCTTTCCGTGGTAAAGGGACACTAACCCCCTACTCCAAATACCATCTTTTTTCAGGGTATCATGTCGACCATCTACTGAAAAAGGAGGTATTTACCATGGAAAACCAGGTTTTCCCAAGAATACCCTGAAAAAAGGCGGGTATTTTGAGTAGGGGGAACAGGAAGCTACCATTTGTCTAGAGGTGGATTTCCCATTCTTTTCAACCATCGTTCTTTTCAAAAACTGGTGGCTTTCCATTGATTTTAGATGGTTTCCTGCGGAAGTTATTCCTGAAATGTTTGGGGCTCCCCTTACGCCCAAGTTGCTCATTGGATGTTGTGCAGCCCGCGGGCACGAGTTCATACGGCATGGTGGCTCGTTGCCAGAGTTAGCCTACCTTCAAAGCATGTACCTTTTCTATATTCCATCATTCCCGTGTCCAAACGAAAATGAAGGGCTCCACGTTTGCTCAAGGAATGAGCGTCACACGCCTTGAGGCAAATTGTCTTCTAGGACCCCTCCAGTTGGGTGCCAGGTCAGCTTACCCGATGCGAGTACCCCTTCACACTGCAACATTCTGCGTGGGAAGGATTCCCTCTAAGACTGAACAAATCATCCTTAAACTTGGATCAGGGGTTACTAATTTTCAGTCACCACTTCCCCGCAGTTCTAAGATGCAGAGTGACGGAGCAATTGATTGACTGGATCGCTACATTCTGCCCATGTTTGTCCTAGGCGATTCCTGGTATGCCGCCTGTCACACGGATCCTCGGCGGCCAGCCCGTGCAGCTGATACCTCACCCAGTTGTTCACTAGCAACCTATGTCCAACTTGTTTGGGTGGCTGCCCCACTAAAAATGGTCTTCCCAAAAAAAGGGTTCCCTGTTTTTTGTTGTTTTGTTTTTGTTTTTTTCCTCCAGGGTCACTGAACAACTGATACCTCAGCAAGCAGCATGGAACACACCAGAGACATGGCCCACTTGAGGAGCATCGCCTTCCAAGGCCTCAGCAGTCAGGTTCCATTTTTCTTTTGGGTGGTTGGTATGTGTTCTAGGGGTGCCTTCCTTTTCCATTCTTTCCAGGAATCCTTCTTTCTAGAAAACCTTCAGAAACCCAGGGAAACGGCTGGTTATTGAAAAGAACGATGGTTGAACAGAATGGGGATTCAACCCCTAGATTTGTAGTAAACTGCCGTGAGTCCAAGGTTGCCATAGGACAAGCTCTTCTTTCCAGGTGCGTGTTCCACATTCGAGCTGGGGCCGTCCAAGAGTGTTTTCGCGTCCGTGTCAAAGTCGTTCCACCAAAGTCACCAGCGTTTCAAAGCGACCGAAGGTGTCTCGGTGAGGCCCGTGAAACCTGTTCCTGGATCTGTCGCTTGCCGGCGGATGCGCTTCTGCTTCATGAGTTCAAAATACAACACCCAGGGGCGGTTGTCAATCAGAATGTGTCGTTAACCTGCCTGACCATGAAAGCAAAGCGGCCTTTTGATATCCTTTTGACTCTTTGTGCAGAGCACGGAACCCTCGAAGCCAGCTTTCATTTGCTTAAGAACTTTTCTGTTTGTTCCCAGTTGGTTTTTGAGGAGGCGGCACCCAAGGCGTCTCGACCCGGACGCTCTCAATATTTACAGACTCTCGAAAAGTGAAGCAAGCAAACGACCCACAGCATGGCCAATTGCGGCGCGCATGTTTCAGCCAATTGGAGCTGGGGGAGGCGCATTGCAGCCATTCCTTCTCCTTTGTGTGGCCTGAGGATTACTTCTGCGCTGGAGACAGTGGTGACTTCTTCTCCTGCGCAGGCAGGCGAACAAACTCTGCAGTAAATGGCTGGCCGGCTGGCTTGCTGCCTGGCTTGCTGCCTGGCTTTCTTGCTCCTTTTTTGTTTCTTTGGGTGTGTGTGGCCTGCTTGTTGTCTTGGTTGCCGTTTTTTGTTCTTCCTGTTTCGTCCTTCTTGATGTCTTTCTTTGTGTCTTTGTTCCGTTATTTGTTTCTGCTTATCTGGCGTTCTTTGTGTCGTTCGTTCCGCTTCTAGTAGTTCATTGTTTCGTTTTTTGGGTATTCACTTTTTTTTTATTATTATTGATTTAGTTGTGGTGTTCTTCATTTAGTTAGTTAATTTTGTCATATTTGGTTAGGTGTTTGTTTATCTTGTTTCACTTGTTTCAATATGTTTCTTGACGGTCTTCTGTATTTGTGGCTTTATTTGTCGTAGTATGTATTGATTTACTTATTGTTCACTTATTCCGTATGTGTATTTCGTTCTTTTGTCTTGCTGTCTGTCTTTCTTTATGTACTTATTGAGTTGTGTGTATCTTTCTTTTCTGCTTTGATGTTTGTTTGTTTGTTTGTTTGTGTGTGTTTGTTTGTCTGTTTGTCTGTCATTTTGTTTGTATTGATAGCTTGTATGTATTTTGTTCAAGGCTTTCTCTCTGTGATCTTTTTTTATGCGTGTCTTTCTTTTTGTTTTTCTGTCTCTCTGTGTTTGCATGCTTGCTTGCTGGCTGGCTGGCTTTCTTGCCTGGCTGACTGCTGGCTTTCTGGCTGACTGCTGGCTTTCTGGCTGACTCGCTGGCTTTCTTACCTGCCTGCCTGCTTGCTTGTTGCTTGCTTGCTTGCTTGCTTGCTTGCTTGCTTGCTTGCTTGCTTGCTTGCTTGCTTGCTTGCTTGCTTGCTTGCTTGCTTGCTTGCTTGCTTGCTTGCTTGCTTGCTTGCTTGCTTGCTTGCCAGGTCTTTTTCGCTTGTTTGTTTGCTCAGGGTTTCGAGGGCGCTTCGCGGTCTTATTGCCAGGCGCGGCTACGGTGATAGACGAGGACGGGACCTGTACTTCCAGTGCCCTTCCCATTGTCCTGGTTACCTTGTTGGTTGGTTGGCTGGCTGGCTGGCTGGTTGGTTGGTTGGTTGGTTGGTTGGTTGGTTGGTTGGCTGGCTGGCTGGGTTGGTCTGGTTGGTTGGTTGGTTGATTGGCTGGCTGGCTGGTTGGTTGGTTGGGTGGCTGGCGGGCTGGCTGGCTGGCTGGCTGGCTGGCTGGCTTACTGGCTGGGTTCGTTGGTTGGTGCTGGCTGGCTGGTTGGCTGGTTGGTTGGTTGGTTGGTTGGCTGGTTGGCTGGTTGGTTGGTTGGTTGGTTGGCTGGCTGGCTGGCTGGTTGGTTGGTTGATGTTGGTTGATGTTGGTTGGTTGGGTGGCTGGCTGGCTGGCTGGCTGTTTGGCTGGCTGGTTGGCTGGTTGGTTGGTTGGTTGGCTGGTTGGTTGGTGGGTTGGTTGGTGGGTTGGTTGGGCCTTTTTAACCATTCACTTTTGGGACATGCTTTTTGTGTTTGTTAACCTGGCTGGGGAAAGGGTGTTTTTTGGTCTAGCCCTGGCACAGGGCTACCCTGTCAGGTGGTTTGTTGGTTGGTTGGTCGGTTGGTTGGTTGGTTAGTTGGTGGGTTGGTGGGTTGGCTGGCTGGCTGGCTGGCTGGCCGGCTGGCCGGTTGGTTGGTTGGTTGGTTGGTTGGTTGGCGGTTTAGGGTAAGCTTGGGGTAGTCCGTTTAGGGTAGGTTCAGGCCCGGCATCGTTTTAACATCCTCAGCATCGTTTTCAACATCCGCTGCATGTTGGCTCCGGGTGGGTTCCAAACCTATTGAGAACCAATTTGGGGGTGGCTGTGCTTGCCGCGGGTGGTTCAGTGCTGGTTTATGGTGCGGCTTCTTGGGGCTGGTCTCGGGTGGGTTTAGGGCCGGTTTCGCGTGGGTTTAAAATTGGCTTCGGCCATGGTTGTGTTTTAAGCCCAAAATTTGTTCTCAATAGGTTTGGAGCCCACCCGGAGCCAACCCTGAGCCAACCTGGAACCCACCCTAAACCCAGCCTAAACCAAAACCTGGGGATGCTGAGAATGTTGAAAACGATGCTCAGGATGTCACAACGATGCCGGGCCTGAACCTACCCTAAACAGACTACCCCAAGCCTACCCTAAACTTACCCCAAACCTTTGTCCGTTAGTGTCTCCAGGGTTAGGCCAATGCCAGGGCTATGCAAAAAAAAGCACCTCAGCCACCTGGCGAGTAGTTGGAAGGGAGCTGCATCCACCTTTTGCTTTTACAGTGAGAGAGAGAGATGTCAAATATCATGTTGCACTACTTGTCACTTGTGCATGCATGATGTACACTACCCGGCTGCAGGCCTTGAGTCTACTAGGAAAAGAGTGCATGCTGGCTGACTACATTTGTGTTTGTGATAACTGAACAACACTTGCACTAGAAGTAAAGTATCAACGTATTTTAACGTGGTAGCGGAGCTGAGATCCTAAACATAGGGGAGCTCCAGTAACAGCAGTAAGTACTACAACTGCACAGGCAACCAACATGCCCAACTACTACGACATGTCAGGAGAACCAGCAGCAGCATCAGCACAACCAACTACAGGAGCAGACAACGGGCCCACAGCAGAAGAGACAATAGGAGCCACAACTACGGGAACAACACAGGAGCAGGAAGACGTCCAAAGGCTACACAAATACAAACTGCCACCACCGTTCTTCACTGGTGACTACTCACAGTATGAAGAGTGGCTGTTCAAACTACAAGCATATCTCGGACTTATCGACCGAGACTTCGACATGGTGCTACAACTAGCACAAGCAGCTACAAGACAAATTGAAGATGCAGACATCAGAGCCCACATACGCGACCCTACACAGGCAGCAAAAGCAGTAGACCTCTCACGAGATCTACACTACATCCTCATCAACATCTGCCAAGGAGCAGCAGCTACAGTGGTTAGACAAAACCGCTACAATGCCAATGGATGTGAAACACTACGGCTTTTGCACAACAGGTTCAGCCTACCAGTAGGAACACGCAGTGTTGGCTACCTCACCAAACTACTGGAACCTACATTCAATGAAGCACAATTTGAAGAACAATTCCTACAGTGGGAATACGACATCAACCGCTACGAGAAAGACAACGGCACAGCACTACCAGATGGAGTAAAGATTGCAATACTACTCAACAAGACCAAAGGAGCACTCCAACAGCATCTCCAACTACGTGCTGGACAGATCACGAACTACAACGAGATCAGAGTTGTCATCCTGGACTACTACAAAACCATCTCTGCATTCTCAAGAGCGAGCTCAGCAGTTGGCACAAACTACAATGGTGGGACAGCACCGATGGACGTGGACAACATTTGGAGAAAAGGAAGAAACTACAAAGGCAAAGGCAAATATGGAGGCAAAGGACACTACAAAGGAAACAAAGGAAAAGGTAAGTACAGAAGCAAAGGCCACTACAAAGGATTCGACAAAGGCAGCAAAGGAAACTACAACAAAGGAGGATACAACAAGAACAAAGGAAAAGGCTACTCAGGATCCAAAGGACATGGATCAAGCAAAGGCTACAAAGGCCAAGGAAACTACAGCAAATCAAAAGGAAAAGGAAACAACAATTACACAACATGCCATCGATGTGGCAAACCAGGCCACTGGGCACAAGACTGCAGAGTGCCAGTATGGCACATAGGAGAAGGAGAAGAACTACATCCACTAGAACAAGAACAAGCAGATCACGACAACAATGAAGAACTACCTCAGGATGTGAACGACACTTGGGACTGGTACTACGAAGGAGAAGAAGGACAACACGAGGTGAACTACATGGAGGAGAACTGGAACGACTACGACTATGACAACAGCTGGGATTGGAATGACAACAGCTATGAGGACACTGCAAACTACATTGGAGGCATCAACGAGTCACACCTCACAATTGGACACATCAGACAAGCAAACTCACGACTACACAAGCACAAATCACTACTTGGCAAGAGAACAACACACACAACATCATGGAACGACCACAGCAAGAGCTTTCAACAATTCCTACAAGAAGACAACACACAGCCACACTTTGATATAGCAGCAGCCAGACAACAACAAAGGAACAAGAAGATTGAGAACACTATCACACACTACATCATGTACTCCAACTTCAAGTCATACCACCACCTGCTGATCGACTCAGGAGCATCTACACACGTTTGCCCGAAGGACTACGCACCAGACCTACCGCTACGACCTTGTGGAGAATCGGTTCCACAACTCTACACGGTTACCAACAAGAAGATTCCTGTCTACGGCATCAAGTACGTTCCCTACAAGCAGGACAACTTCAGGATCATGATACCCTACTACGTTTGTGATGTGAAGTACCCAATCCTCAGTGCATCAAGACTACTTGATAGAGGATATGGACTTGACTTCACTCCACGACACTGCACCATCACACATGGACAACAACAAGCACACCTCATCAGACACTCAGGACTTTTCTACCTACGAGCAGAGAAGATCGACATCCCTACAGGATTCGACATCTATCCAATGACTACAGACAGTGGAAAATCCATTGCTGTGATTCAACCTACAGAGAGAGCAGCACAACAACAAGAACAAATCGCACCACTCACACACACAGACCAAGGACTACGACAGATCCTTGGTGGAAACACTGACTACTGGAAACTTGATGGTGACTACGCCATCAGAGTACACAAACGACCACGCAAAGCACTATTCACACCACACAACAGTGGTTGCCCAATACCTGAAGAAGAACTAGATGATTGGCGACTAACCATCATCAACAGACAAGGGCAAGAGCAAGAACAACTACAAGAGAACCCAACACAACTTTCCAAGCAAGAACTACAACGAAGACTAGAAGGTGACAACTGGACTGGAGAAACCAGATTCAGAAGAAAGATAACACCTACACGCAGAGCAACATCAAAGACAACACCAACAAGGCAGAGCTCACAACCACAACGGCTAATGGACACACCACCAACCAGATCAAAGATCCAACTACGAGCACCACAAAAGATATGGAGACCTAAAGCAGCACCTTCTACAAATCTTGACACCACACAACCAAAGGAGACAATCCACAGACCACTCACAGCACAGGAGGACAACCAAGACTACTGGGAAAGACAAGGTGAACACTGGATAAGACACCACACATCACTTAGAACAACTCTATTCACTCCAACAGATGGACCAGGACATCCACCAATCAGCACACTCGAACCTCACAGAACTACAATCACTCACAACAACTTTGGAGAAGTTTCCCAACGCAAAGATGACTGGACAGTCATGGGCAACGCAGCACTACCATTTCAATGGAAAGGAACAACAAGGTTCACCGTGAAGAAAGACTACGAGTACATCCAGGAGAACCACGATGAGGAACAACAACACGAGCATCATGAAGCACACAGAGCAATAGGACTACGACAACCTCAGCAGCCCACTCCACAACAAATAGCAGAACACAACTTGACACACCTACCATACAGAAATTGGTGTCCAATTTGCGTTCAAGGCAAAGGACGCCAGGACAACTACAAGAAACAACAATCACGACAACCCATCATCCAAGTGGATTTTGCCTACATCAAATCACAACAAGATCCGAAGACCATACCAGTCTTAACGGCAGTTGATGTTACTACACAACTGTGCATGGCGGTATTGGTTCCGGACAAACCATCAATGATGGACTACATGATCAACAACCTACAAGCATTCATCTTTGAATGCGGAAGAACACACGGCATACTACAAAGCGACAACGAAGACACACTCAATGCACTACTACAAGCAACAGCATCTAAAGTCGGCTCAATGACTGTACGACATTCACCATCCTACAGCAGCAACAGTCAAGGAAGCGTTGAGCGACTACATAGAACACTTCTCGGACAAATCCGCGTCGTCAAAGCTCAGGTTGAAAGCAACTACAGCATGACGATGTCCACAAAGCACTGTCTACTACCTTGGATAGTACGACACGCAGCATGGACGGTAAATCGCTACGTCATTCACTCAGACGGCTACACAAGCTTCGAACGCCGCTGGGGAAGAAACTACGAGCGAGCAATCTGCGAATTTGGCGAGACACTACTCTACCTTCCACCACAACACAAGAAACTCCCAAAAGCAGACCTACGGATGCAGAAATGCATCTGGCTCGGAAAAGTTTCCGAAACCGGAGAAAACTACGTCGCAACGGAATCAGGCGTACAAAAGGTACGAACAGTGCGGAGACTACAACCGGACTTCAAATACGACCTCGCACTATTGAACAAAGTTTCCGGCACACCGTGGGCACCACGACGGAACACCTACAACCCATCGTTCGCAACACTGTTGGATGCGCAACTACCACCGTCAGAGAAAAGAAGGTCCACGCAAGATTTCGGACAACAAACGAACGCTACGGACGACATCGTTGCGGAACCCGCAACAAAACAACAACGCACCACACCACCTCCACGACTTCCGTCAACATCGACGTCAAGTTCACGACCACTACCGGATAGTCCGATGGCTACTTCACCAACCGGACGACAACATCCACCACTCCCAGCACCACCTCGACAAACACTACGACGTTTAACTCTGGAAGAAGTAATGCAACCCACTAAAGCACAGAAGACCTCAAAGGACACTACAATCAGATCAACGGAGCAAGCAACCAAAGAACCACCACCACTACGACAGAATCCCAACGGCAAATTCATCACACCCTACGCAAACGACGACACCTCAGAAGACCAACCCATAATCTTCGACAATGAAGGTTACGACGAAACACAACTACTGGAAGGAATGAAACACGAGTCAAATCAAATGAAGCTACATGACGTCTACGAAGTAGATGCGTCTACCGCCGACGACAACGTCATAAGAGAAGCGATACCTACTAGATGGGTACACAGGAAGAAAGGACCAGGAGTGCGAAGTCGAATCGTCGCAAAAGGCTACACAGAGAAGATCGAGGACGAAGACTCCGTCTACGCCTCTACACCAATGTTCACGACACTCCGGACACTTCTCGCACTACAAATGTCACGACCAAACTGGATCGCGCGACTAGGCGACGTCTCTACAGCATTTCTACACGCACCCATCGCAAAAGACCACGACGGTAAACAACGTGACGTCTACCTTTGGCCACCTAAAGAACTTTGTCCACAACAGGACAAAATCTGGCGACTAAAGAAAGCCATGTATGGACTACGCAGTTCACCAAAAGCATGGCAGGACTACCTGGCTGAAGTGTTACAAAAGCTCAGCTTTGTAAGACTAAAGTCAGAACCTAACGTCTACACCAATGCAACTCGCGACTGCTACATCATGGTCTACGTGGATGATCTCTTGGTACTTGGTGACAAGACTACTGTCGACTCCACCTTCGAGGCCATCCAGAAGCAGGTCCTACTCAAGCACATCGGCTACCTCGAACCTGGCAAACCACAACAATTTCTTGGAAGAAACATCGACCACTTTGGCAACTACTGCAACCTTGGACTAAAGGACTCCTACATCGACAACATGATCGAGGAGTCTGGAATGAACAACTGCAACCCAGTGAACACTCCAGGAATTGCACACTACAAACCGACAATAGAAGATGAAGCACTACTTGACCACGAACAACACAAAAGGTACAGAAGGATTGTTGGCAAACTACAATGGTTAGCATACACACGACCAGACATCGCATACTCCACAAAAGAACTAGCACGAGACCTCACAGCACCTACAGAACTCTCACAAAAGAGAGTCAAACATTTACTACGCTACTTGAACGGCACCAAGCACTACAAATTCACCATAGAACCAACAACAACACTCAGAGCAAACACTAACAACATCCTGGATCTCGACGTTCATGTCGATGCCGACTGGGCAGGATGCCCTACTACCAGGAAGTCAACTTCAGGTTTCAACATCATCTTTTTAGGAACAACAGTTGCATTTGGCAGCAGAACACAAGCTACAATAGCACTCAGCTCAGCAGAGTCTGAACTCTACGCCATTTGCACAGGAGTTAATGAGGGACTACACCTCAGAAACTTCCTACTTGAAACCAACATTTGCAGCAAGCTAAATCTACGCATCCACACAGACTCCACAGCAGGCAAGAGCATTGCTACACGACAAGGCACTAGCAAACGAGCAAAACACATCGACCTTAAATTTCTCTACACACAAGACCTCATCAAGCACGACATCATCAGAATCCTCAAAATCAACACACTACACAACAGCTCAGACTTGTTCACAAAATACATTAGCAAAGAAACACTACAGAGGCTCATACAGAGCATTGGCATACGTGTTTAGCACTACGAACAACAACTGTTTCACAACTGTTGCACATCAATCACAACAGTTTGTATATGGCCATATGTAACTACCTGCATTTAAGTAACAGTAACAGTAACAGTGACTACAAGTAATAGTAATTGTAACCACCAGTAATTTGCACTTGCACTTTTGGCGGCTTTTGGCGGCTTGAGTCAACACTACATGTTGTTTTGTGTTTTACTACATGCCCGCATGTGCTTTTGTGAGCTAACATTGGCTCACTACTGTCTGCCCCGTTTCACTGCATCTCGATAGGCCGAACTACCAGCAATGGCTGGAACTACGCCCATGGATGCGACTACGCTGGATGTCATGCCGATGGAGGTTACTACATCAGCGCCAGAGACTACTCTGCCCGTCGAACAACAGGCTGGCAGTACTACACCGGACCGTGTTTTCACACCACCGGATCGGCAGGGCACTACCGACTCCGGCAGCATGGCTACTTTGGCCACTCCACCACCTGAGGCCTACAACTCCCTCAACTACAACTTCAATCACCAACTACCCACACCGGCACCTTTCTACAGACCCGACGACATCTTGGCACACCTCACTACAACTGAGAACAACATCCCCGACACTCCAGCGATCGACCCGGAGCAGAACTACTTCAGGGTCTACGCGGCTTTGACGCTCGAGGAGTTCCAACTACTAAGTCAACAACAAACTACACCCATCCCCGAGCTCAACTACAACCTACCAGTTCACGACCTACCTTCAGACCTACGGATGCCACACTACGACTCACTACCTCTTCACCTACGTCTTTCAGAGGCAGTCAACTTCTACTACTACAACCTTACATCACTACACCTCACAACCCAGTACACCAACTCGATGGTCATCATCCAACTACACATTCCACCAGAAGTTCTACTACGATTTGTCAGCGCTGGACAACTCGTCAACTTCTGCCGCGACTACGTGAGCCACATGATTTCCATCAAAGATGAGCACCACCTACCTACACGCCAGCTACATCAACGACTACACCGAATCACCTACAACTTGGACCAGATCACCACTACATTCAACCTGTCCAACAACTTCATTTGGAACTATCACATGCCCCTGTACCTACCAGAACTACTCAACTACTTCGACCAACCACAACAACTTCAAGACCACCACTACAAGTCCATCAACACGATGCTACACAAAAGTGTCACCTACTACGGCATCACCCTCCTCACGGCTACAAATCTTTCCATGCAACACAAACTACTACTCCACAACTACCTCACTACCACCGGCCAAGCACTTGCACCACCGGAATGCGGCTACAACCGCCTTCGTGGCGGTCCAGACTTCCTCAACACATTCACTACCAACCACTACGCAGGCTTGGAGTACCGCATCAGCCAAGTCCAGAACTGCCGAGTCCAACACGGCACACCTGATCTCCAGGTGGAGCTGCAACTACGTGCTGTACTACGTCATCGTACTACGAGATGACTGAGAACCAACTAGGGTTCTTGTACAGCAATTTCACTTTTCTGATCATTTGAAGGTTAGTTGAACTACAGACAGCAGCGCTGTAGATACCTACCTTCGGTCATCTTTTTTAAGAGACTACATGCCTGTTCGCTACAGTAGCATCGGCAAACAACATGTGCATTCGTTTTTGCCACTACTGTCAATACCACCTTTTGGGTCTATGGTTAAAGGACACTACAAGGTCTTTTTAACCAAGGGGCCGTGTCAAATATCATGTTGCACTACTTGTCACTTGTGCATGCATGATGCACACTACCCGACTGCAGGCCTTGAGTCTACTAGGAAAAGAGTGCATGCTGGCTGACTACATTTGTGTTTGTGATAACTGAACAACACTTGCACTAGAAGTAAAGTATCAACGTATTTTAACGAGAGAGAGAGAGAGAGAGAGAGCGAGCTAAGGACATGCTGTTTCTTGTGTGTTGGCCACCAAGGAGCAAAAAGTTAAAGTTTGTGGCACAGGGGGCCATAGCCGCCAAGAAAAGGGGAGGGATAATGGTCAACCATGGTCAGTGGCCAGGTCCGGCTGGCGGTTACCTAGTCGACGGATTTGAGCAGCATGCTGTGGATGGTTGCGAAATCATGCTGCGCCACCGTTCAGCAACTGGTTTCTGATTCGATTCCCCTCTAAAAGCCAAAGCGTTCCGGCTTCAACTCTGGAATGCTGATTCCCCCGGAAAAACACCAACAAACCCTAGGGTTTCCCCTAGTTTCCACCCTGGTTTTCTCGGTTTGTCGAGGAGGCCCGGATCATGAACAAGACCTGGGGCGCCATGTCCCGAGGCCTGGACTCGATGGTCTCACCTGAGGTCATGGACACCAAATTTGGTTGCCATAGTGGATGAGGGGAAATCATGCATGGCAAAACCCATGCGTAGAGGGAAACCATGATTTTTGGAGCTCCTGAACTTGATGCCATTTAATTGCTTTGGTGGCCAAGTGGTACACGAAAAAGTCTTTCGGGTGACAAACAGTTTGGCCAATCCACTGGCGGCTGGGGAAACGCCAACCACCTCACTCGCTGCGTTGGACTTTCAAAACTTGTTGGGAACACCAGTTGCGCGGTAGAACAAAAGCTCCTGGTGACTTGTTTGGCGAATCTCGATCAGCAGTCAGGGGGTCGCTTCCGCCAGGTTGAACATATCAGACTGATGCGCCCCATTGTCACATTTGAAACATATCACTCGGTTTAAGTTCCTCGCAGTGATTTTTCAGCAGATTTCACCTCAGTTTTCCTTGACGTTCCAAGCTGGCTGGCACGTTTCAGCCGCCATGGATTGCCAAAGTAGCTCGCTCTTGCTGATGCCTTCGCGGTTGGAGCTGAGGACAATCAAGACTTCATCAAAAACATCAGATGCAATCTTGCCGGCCTTACTATTTATGACGGAGGGGTAGATACGTAGCTAGCTTGATGCATTTGATACTGAGATAACACATATTTGTCCGTGGTTTAAGATTTATGCTGCAATCATGGAGGACTGGAACCACCGTTTGTTGCTTCAAGCTTCACCTTGCCACGACCTCGGCCAATGCATGTTTGCTTGCTGCTGGCAGTTCGGATGTTTTCGTCAGGCAGTCCTTCATAGCTTTCGAGAGGATTGGCTGGCCCCATGATTGTTGCTGAACATATGGCTCATCGAGCTCTGGCTCTAAATCTGGTGACCTCGATGGGGATCCCGACCCCACCCCCCAAGCAGCCACCCACCGCGCAGGCATCAACCGGGCAGAAGCCTTCGCTCAGCAGGAGCTGCAGGGAATGCCGCTCGTACCCTTGCTTGGTGGTTTTCGGGGTCGGTCCTCTAAAAAAGACACACCCATTTGGTCAAACTTACAACCAACGGAATGCCTCCCCCTTCATCTCAGCCTGGATCTGAGTTGTTTAGTTGCACCCGTTTCTTTGTTATTTGTCTGGTGGGCCCTACTTTAGGCATCGTCAAGCCCAATATGGGTGCGACACTGGGCACCTGGAAGTTGGTAGTTACGCAGATAGCAAGTCCTTCCCAGTTGCATTTACAGGACTTGCCGGGTTACACTTACGAACTGGGGTGGTCAAAGCAAAGTTGCCCGGTTGCCCAGTGAGGCCCTCCCCCGTCGTTTCCTCTCTTTTTTGGAGGGTGCGCGCGTTCTTCAAACTAAACGGGTGTGATGGATTGGATTCCTTTCGGCCGGGCTTCCCTTAAACAACCTGGACCCCGAAAGGACACCCAAAGTTTCTGCCTTTGACCCAAAAAAAAGGGTACAAAGGCAGAAAAAATGGGTCCTTTGGGGGTCCAGGAAAGCAACGTGTGTGTGTGTGTGTGTGCGCCTTGTTTTTGCTTAGACTTTTGGGGCTCAGAACCAGTCACGGCAACTTTCACCAGATCTTTGGCGATGTTGACCCTGATTTGATACACCACGTGCATTTATTCGGAGGGGGGATTCTTGCCCTTGGAAACGCAGAAGAACAAAGCAACTCGAAAAAGGCACCCAGATCCTTTAAGGGGCGCACCAGACAGAAAGTGTGGACCTTGTAGCATGGTTATAAGTCACTGAAGCGTGTTAGAACTTGGGTGTCTAAGTAATGTGGCCTTTGAATACACCAAACTCAAACGATCCACTCAAACATCTTTGCTGGCTTTGGGATTCCATGTCGTCAGGGGTCAGGGGCTAATGGCCCATGTAACAAAGATGCCCCTGAAGCACATGTTTAGTCTGTTCAAACTAAAAACACCCTTATTTCCGGTTCGGGAATTGAATTTGCTTCCTGGAGAAGACACATGCCTGGATCGCCAGTTGCTGTTTTTTTTGTCCATGAACTTTACCCCAAAAACCAGCAACAGTGACTGAAAAAAGCAGCAACTTGGCTAGGTGTTGTTTTTTTTCAAGTTGAGGTTTACCCCCTAACTTCGGGGCTTAGGTAACCCAAATCTCCCGGCCCTGAGGGCTTGGATTGACCCTGCCGATTTCAGAAGGCAGATCGGATACAGGCCCCTGGCTCTGAACATGGAAGCCAACAACCCACCAGCTTCTTTTTTCAAAATGGCCCGCTTCATAAAGACAAGGCTCGCTTCTTCAACGCGACTCGACCTGAACTGACCTTTGGGTTTTCCCGTTTCGGTACCCATGGCATCCACAAGGTGATCACGTGTTTTAGGTCATGGTCCGAAGGGCAACTCTGGTGCGTAAAGCTGTTGGGATCAGTCAGGGAACCCTAGGTGTGCTCTAGTAAACGGAACCAGGCGCAGGAGAATCATGCGCGTAGCATCCTGGAACCCATTTGTGAAAACTACCCCCTGCTCACAAAATACCCGGCATTTTGTCAGTGGGTATCCTGTCGACCCTCTACTTAAAAAAAAAAGTATTGGCCTTGGAAAACCGATCGTTTTTCCCAAAACCCTGGAAAAAGCGTTGGTATTTTGAGTAGGGGGTAAGTTGAGAATGATTCGGGCCCTTTCAAACTGAGAAGGGTGGATCCACAAGGTGGTCACCTTTTTGTGTCAGGGTCCCTTACAGGGGCGGGTCCTGCGCGTTTTTCGCGGCTCGAATCGAGTCCGAAGCTCGTGAGGCTGAAGGCTCTGATTGCGATCTCCACCACTCTGGCGGCTACTTGGCTGTTGTCAAAACCAATGGTATCCCATTTTGGTTGGTAGGTGAATTCACCACCCATTTTGGTCGGGATTTTAGTGGGGATTGAATCGGATGTTCACGATTTGGATTGTGACCCATGGCCACTTGGAGCTGGCGGAAGCGGAGTGGAGACGTCAAGTTGTGGCCTGGAGGAAGCCCAGCGGAGTGAAATTTTGTGAGGGGGGGATGATTGGAACGGGGGCTTCTTGCGAATGAGTCTTCAAGGGATGTATCCCAGCTTCGTTGGATGATTTTTTTTTTAGGGGAGGGGGGTCATGCTGGAGGAATCCCAAAAGTTCAGCAGATGAGTTGAACTGCCGGGGGGGATTTGGAGTGAGTGATTTTTTGGCTTCCAGAATTAGCTCCCCCTTTTCTTTGTTCTTTTTTTTTCTTTTTTGGGGTCCCATTGTTTTCCACTAAGGCAAAACAAAGAGAGATCATGTTTTTCGCTGGGGCCCCTTTTTCCAGATTTGGGGTTTTGAGTGAGTGAGTGTTTTGGGAAGCCCGATCAAACTTTCTGGTGCCCCATGGAACTGAGATCCGCCGAAGCTTCTTGCCAGAAAAATTGTTGGAACCAACCCCAAACCCCTAGAGACGGCCCAATTGCTCACTTCCCAAGTTGACTGGCCAAAAAAAACATGAATTTTTGCTCCCCTTCAACGTCAACCAAGGAAAAACCCAAACACCAAATAGCTGGTGACCTATGTCGGAAACACCTGGTCCTAGGCACATACCTACCCGGACCCTGAAACTACCCATAAAATAAAAGTTCATTGCCAACCCATGTCTTGTGGTTGCTAAGTGTTCGACCCCTTTTCATGGCTCATTTGTTTCTTTCAGGTCGCAGGGTTCTGCTTCCCCAGAATTAGCTCCTCTTTTCATGTTTTGGCTTTTTTGGTGTCCCTTTGTTTTCCACCAAAGCAACAAAGACCATTTTTTCGCCGGGGCCCCCTTTTCCAGCCCAGTCTTGCCCAAATGTTTGCTTCGGCTTGGGCCCTCGCCCGCGCGTTCGGCGCGATATCGCCGAGGCCTTGGCCATCGCTTTCGGCTGCTACTTGGTCCGCCGCGAGCGCCAGGGGACGCCCGTCTTCGCGTCCCCCAACGCCGCGGAGCCCCGGCTGCGCCCTGGCCTCGGAGGCTTTCGGAGGGCCAGGCGCCTTCTGGGTCACCCAAAACGGGGAGGGCCCGGGTATGTATTTTAGAATTTGTTTACCCAAAATCTGAAAAAAAGGGAAAAATAAATCCACACCCAAAATAATGGGTCATTGACCCATTTTGTAAGGGTCATGGAGACTCCAGAAATTTCGGCGCGAAAGGCGCCGGGCCTGTCGGCAATGGAATCGGGGTGGTCAAGGCACCCCAAAATTCACTCCGAAGCGGTGTGTTCCCAAAACATGTCGGTGGTGCTTTGGGGTTGAATTTAGAACCACCAAAACAAAACAGCAAAAACAAAGACACACACACACAAATGCCCCCCCCCCAGACCTGTTTTTAGGGTTGTGGAACAGTCATTTCCTGAGTTCCTGGACTTTGAACTTGGAGGACGATTTAAGTGGCCCAACAAAAAATGGACGTTTTGTTGCAATTCTGCTCAGGAAGCGAAACAACCTGGCCAAAGGAACAACCTGGCTGCAGAGAAAGGGCGGTCGACCGTTTTTTTCCTCAAGCCTGCCCAAAAACTGGGTTTTCTCAATTTCCCTTTTTTGGTGGAACCTCCAAAAGTGGCAGCTTCAATGGAAACCGCTCCTAAATCAACGTTTGAAAGGGAATTATTCCAATAATCCTTGCAAAAAGGGGAAGTCCTGAAGCCCATTTAGGTGGCAAACCTGTTGGGTTCTGAATCGGGTTCGGCCCACCTTGAACTTGGAGTGAGACTCAGGGAGGAGTCCAGATAGCTACCCTTTTTCGGGCTTGACTTAAAACATGATGTATATTTCTTGGAACACACATTTGGACCCTCAAAATACCGATAAAAAAGGGATATTGCGTCAAACTATGCGGTGAGTGCTCTTTTTTATGGTTAGTTTTGCGGTCCGGGCACATTGGGGACTCCAGACCAAAGGGATTTCTCATTCTCTCAGGGTGGACTTCAGTATGAAGCATCCGAACATGTGATATTTTGTGTACATATTTTTGTGCCAGCCTTACAATTTGTGGTCTGGCTCAGTGCTTCGAATCGGTATTTGAGAAGTTCCGGAAGAGGGGGGGCACCGGTTTTATTGGATTCCAATGTTTCGCTTCGTACTGTGGATGGTTGCGAAATCCAGCTCGCAGCACTTTGAAACCATGGTTGAAACCACAACGTTTGAACCGGTATTGACAGGGCAATCATTAATTTGTCAGGGTTTCTTTGGTGCGAGATGGATTCATTCTCCCCAGAGCTGAACGGTGGTGCGAGAAGCGGATCCACAGGTTTTATCCCGTTTGGGACTGGGAGACGGCAGGGGGAGCTGGGCCACCCTGGGGGAGCTTAGGATGGGCGCCCAGCGGTATGTGGAGTTCATGGAGATGTCGTGAGCTCGACCGAATTTCTGGATCCATTGGAAGGATCGCAGAGATGGGGGCTCTGGATGACTTAACTTTGGTGCATTTTGCCAAGGGATGTTGGGACTTGAACTTTTTGCCAGCTTATGGGTTTTCCATTAAACCACTTGAAGTTATTCACTTTTAGCAGGGGAGCAGATTTCGCAACCGAGTCAATACTTAGTGTGAACCCGTCGATTTCTACCCACACAAGCCTGAACAGGACACCTTCCGGGCTCGCCTACCGACGTACCGAGTCGTCACAGCGAAAGCCGTGATGTGAGGGGTTCTTTTGGGGAGATCGAATGTCAGACTTAGGCATGGTTGTTGTTGGGAAACATTTTGCATTTTTGCTTATTGTGGTTTAGTGGGAAATCCCCACTTAACTGCTAAAATTTAGTCTTTTGCTCCCCTTGCAACCAACCAAGCCTTAGGAACGACTGTCAGATTGGCAGATGATATTGCAGTACAAGCTTCCTTAAGTATCAAGACTTGTTTTTGGTGTGTGTGGGAGGGGGGAGCAAAAGGTAAGGTAGATGATTTGACGCGCGCGTCATGTTGCAGCAATCGGTGACCAGTAACTTCACTTAGCACTTTGTTATTGTGCATCTTCAGCAAAAGGGGAGAATGCAAGACGCATGCTCTACGGTGGTTCTAGGGGTACCTTCCTTTTCCATTCTTTCCAGGGCTCCGAATCTTTCTAGAAAACCACCAAAAACCCTGGGGAACTGGCCGGTTTTGGAAAAGAACGATGGCTGACCTAGAGTGGTGTGGTAGTTCAGTATGGTGGCTTGCACCATTTGGGGCGTCCAGCGTGCCATGTGCTATGTGGGAGCGGCGCGGCTCCCGGCTGCTTTTGTCGGCTGCCAGGAATGGAAATGAATGCGGTGAAGAAAACTGCGCGCACGAGCACGGATGAAGCCACATCTGTTGTGGGGAAACATGGATGCGTCTTAAAATGAAGGGAAGCCACAGCCTGTTTTTGTTTTTTTGGTTGACTTTAGACAGCCCCAAAGAAACTTCCCCTGGTTTTAGGCTTGTCGCTTTTGGAACCTGAACCCAACCACACACGCACACCAAACACGCCAAGCCAATTGTGATCCATTTTACTCTTTCCAGAGAGAAAATGTCTGACTTGCAGTGAACAGGCGCGTTTTCCCGCTGGTTAACAGGCTCGATGGGCGAATGTTCAAGTGCCGGGCCGGGTTCTTCATGTTCTTCTTGGCTTTTCAACATGGGCCCATGTCCAGTCAAGATTCCACACGGCCAGCCGCCGTTTTTTCCCAGTAGGTCCTTTAGGCATGGGAGTATTGGCCAAGCACCCCGCACATTCTTTGGGCAGTGTCCATGTCATTGGGTTTACATCGGGTTTTACAAGCAACCCAAACCAAGGTTTAACAACCCAATGCATGCGACTTTTTTTTTGAAATCAACAACCCCATGTTTGAGGGTGGGGGACTTGCGCTGGTTGTTTCGCCTAAAAGCCTCGCAGCTTTTGACCTTTCCAGAAAATCCGTCGAGTCACCTGAAAATCTCAGGCAGGACCTTAGAAACAAAGCTGTGAAAATAATATATATATATATATTATATATTAAATAAGAGGAACAACAAGAGGACAAATAAACACGGAGACTGAGGGGCTTCCCTATGAACAAATCCAGCGCCACGTGCGGGGATCTTTGTTGCTCGTCTCCCCATCCGCTTCGTCGCTTCGCTGACTTCGGCCATGGCGGAGATGGTGCTGTACCACATGAACGGCGCCCGCTCCTCGCGGGCGGTGTGGATGCACCGGGAGCTTCAGGCCTGGGACCGGGGGGGTGGGGGGGTTCGGGGTTTCTGGGGGGTTGGCTGAAGGAGCTAGAGGGAGGTAAGGCTGCAGTGGACCCATTTGGCCATCAATTTTAAGAAGATCAATCCCCGCCTAAAGGGTGCCCACAAAGTGCCCTATTAAAGTTCACGCCGATTGCAGTTTGTTTAAAGCAGAGAGCTAAGGAGTAGCAAGGAGTTCTGCACCATGGCCATGCTGCTTCTTGCCTTTTGGACATACGTCAAAGAACTAGCCAATTGGTTCGAATCCAACCACTGTCACCGACTCGTCGCAATGTTGTTCCTAGAGCGTTCCGGCATCTGGAAGGGCTTGCTTCAGTCCGACGACTGGTCTCGAGAACTTGCCATTCTTCCTTCAGCTGGTTATGTACGGCTTCAGGTGGAACTTCTATGTTCAGAGGTTTTGGATCAGTCGGTTCCGCTAACAAGAGTTACTTATTTCTACGCCTCGGTTTGGGACTTCCTTTTGAAAAGGTATAGGAAACAAGACTTGGGTTGTGGCCTTTGTGTTGACGGGCACCTCGATGTCGTCACCAGAGCCCCCGAAACCTTTGGGTTGGAGAAACTGCCTTCCCCCATACACCCAATATCTGCTTTCGTTGGTATGATGTTGTACTTACCTTGGAAAACCAGGCTTTTCCAAAAAGCGCGTTTAAAACAGTGACTATTTGGAGTTGTCCATTAAACCTGCAAAACGAAACTAGCGGATGCATGTTCAGGCCCGAACTGGATAGGATGCAACATCTTGTTTGTAGTAGAACACCACAAATCATCTAAGATCACCAATGGCAGGAGCATTCAAAGCCGAGTAGCCCTCTTAACTTTGCAGGGGGTGTTAAGGTCAGCCAAGAGATGCCCCTTCTTGTGGAACCAAGGAGGGTACTCTCCCACAGAACGTGGAAACCAAAACACTGGCATGGTTTCCCTTCAATGTGGTGTTTTTTTTCAACTGAATGGGGGTGACTTTGGTGAACTAAAATCGGGCCAGAAACACCGCTTTATGGCTCTCCTTTTGAGGAACCCGTCCGAAGGGAATTCGATCGTGACTTGCGGGGTATCCCGGCCAAAGCTTTGCACCGCCAACCGGTCACCAACCAAACCACCCTTTATTTCGTGGTGGCCCCCAAAAGTGTAACCACCTAGATAGCCAAGCTGCCGCTTTTCTCAGTCACTGTTGCCGGTTTTTGGGGGTAAAGTTCATGGAATTAAACAACAAAGAGAAACCGGCGATCCAGGCACGTTTTGTTGGCCGGTCACTGGCTTCAAGTGAGTTTTGGGAGCCGGATCCGCACAAGTCTGGAAGGCGATCTATGGCACCCTGCCGCCGCTGGAAGTGCACGCCTTTGATCCCAAGACCTTCCGCGAGAACAAGCCAGCACCTCTTCTCCAAAAGGTCCAGGTGGATTCCACACATTTGCCCGACCATCCTTCCTAGAGGGTTCACCATTCGGCTTTGCCCACCTTTTTGCAAAGGTCCCAAGAGGTGAATGCGAAAGCCTCACGAAAGTGCCTACTTGCAGTTTCTGTATGGCAGATGTCGGCTCCTATTCCGGGCTTGAGTGTGCTCTGCGAACTTGAAGGGATTCCCACATGCCCGCGAAAGGTGAAACGTGTGGCCGCGCTTTCGCTCGCATCGTGCAAAGTCCTGACAAGGTGATTTCTAGAGGTGATGCCAGGCGTTCTCCCGCCATGGTGCAACCTAGAGGCACAGAACCTTTTCACTGCACCCACCACTGCAATTTGTTGAAAAGGAAGGAGAGCTGCCCAAGTTGCAAATTGGGAGCTGCCCACACCTTTTTGTGTCTCTTTTGGTTTCCATATCACCACCCAAAGCAAGGATCAACAAACAACATATAAATTAACGTCTTTGCCGTGCTTCGGATGTTTCTCGTCTGGTTTGCTTACATGGATCTCCCATGGATTGCGTTTGGGTTCCCAGGTACAAACGCCGGAGTGATTCCCCCACTCCAATTTCAAAAAAATAAATATATGTTCGGTCATTTGTTTGTTTGTATGTTTGTGTTCTGAAGAGCCATTTGTATATGCCTGTTTGTTCGGTCATAGTATCTTTTGAAGAGCCATTTGTTTTTGTGTTAGTTAGTTTCAAGGTAAGCACCGATCCCTGAATCTTTTGGCTCATCAGGGTTCGCCATCGTAGCATCTGAAGGAAGCGCTGGTGTTTGGTGTAGGATTGAGTCGCGGATTTCTCAACCCGAGGACTGGTACTTGAAGATCAACCCCAATGGGAAGGTACCTTCCTTTACTCACGGCCAGGCAAGGGGCCGGCCTGGGGGCGCCGGCTTCGGGGGGCGAAAACCGGGGCACTGAACTGTGTCTTTCTTCTTTCTTTCCTTTGTTCTGAACATGGACGCGCTGTAGGGAAACAAATGGCAAACCTTTCACCAGGGATTGGAGGATGGGGTTCGCAGAAGAAAAACAACTCTTGAAGGCGGGGTCCCCTTAAAATCGACCAAGATGTTGCTTTCTCATGGCCACTGGGGTTTGGTAAATGGATCGTGTTTTAAGGGAAACAAACAGAAACCCACCCCGCGGGATTTGAATTCCAAGTCACACGTGTGTGTCGGGGGATTTCTCAACAATGGACCCTTCTCTGGTCTGGTAGCCAAAGGGAGAACAAAATGACATAAATTGTGCACTATTTTGAGAAACACCCAGCTGGGGAGAGGAGCTGCATTTTGTACTTTTTGTTACATGTGCCAGGAACCTGGGGATTGCCTTTGAAGACTCTGGGGGCTGCTCTTGTTTGGCATGTTTAGTTGTTTAGAACGGTAAAATGGAGAGGCTGAAGCATCAACCAAGTACCAACCAATGTGTTTAATGTTCCATGAATGATGGTGAGAAATGGCAGAGAGGAACGTAGAGAGAGATGGCAGCTTAGAACTTTCTGAAAGGATGGTGTGTGTGTGTGGCAGGAGAGGTCTCCGTTGAAGGGAAGCCGAAAGAACACATTGTTTGGAGACAAGTTCAAAGAGCAAGCCTTTTGGCCCATGCCGACCAGCGCTTGGGTGAAGAACCCAGCAGACTACTTGGCAAGGTTGAAGGTGGGACGGCAAATTTTTGGAAGTTGTCGATTAGGGCGGGGACCAGCGGGTGGGGTCGACCTAAGTAAATCGTCAGGCTTGTCAGGCCAAGCCTTTGGTGGTTATAGCAAAACCTCTGGAAACATTTGTTGCAATTGCTTTAGTAGAGCCAAAGGTCAACGCGTTTTGGGCACTGCTTGTAAGTGTCCCTTCGGGATGCTGGTAATATGCCGGAAGGTGAAAATGTATGAGAGCAGCGCCATTTGCCTCTACCTGCTCCAGATGTTCGATAAGGAGGGCAAGCTTGCTCCGCTCAATGATCCAGCCAGTTGGCTGAATTGTTGAAGATCGGGGTGGTGGGGGGTGGGGCGGGTACGGCCGTATTTTGTGAGGCGTATGGCCATGTGTTGAGGAGTTGACGACCGTATTTTGCGGGGCTTCTGCCCGGCTTTTGGGAGGCGTATGGCTGATGTATTGGCTGCATCTTAAGGGGATGGTTTAATGCATTTAAGCCCGCCCCTTTTTGGCTTACAGCCCAAGTCCTGGTTGTATAGCTTGTTTGTGGTTTGATTCTTTGTCTTTTTCAGGGCCCTGGAAGTCAAAGCTGTAGAACCGTGAACCGCTGTACGACCAGACTTTCTTGGCACTCTTTAGCCACTAAAAATCCCCACAATGTCAGCCACCATGTGTCGCATTCTCCGTTGGGGTCGAACTACTATGTAAGTACGTGCCCCATTTTCGTTGGGTGGTCAGACTCAGACCGTATTTTCGAACTTGTTTTCCTGTGGTAGTGAGGCCCTCGTCCAAATTGGCGTGTCTCAAAACTAGGAACCCGTTCAGTGTTCAGGTGGTTGGTTTTCGTGTGGCTTCCCCTTAAACATTGTTCAAAAAAGAGACCCCCAATGTTGACTCCCAGGATTAATAAACCCGTCCTCTGGGTGAACCAAATCATTGGACCTGTAAAATCCAAGACACCTTCGAATGATGATTCCCCCTGCTAATGAACACTGCCGCCCCCTGGTTTCCAAGTGCTGCGAAATGGATTTTGTCCATTCACAGTATCCCAGGTGCTCACCGGTTTTCGTTTTTTTTTGGGGGGAAGGGTTCCGATTCCTTGCAAGTCAGCCAACCCAAAGAATGGGATGTGTCCTTGTCTTCCTACGGAAATCCACTGGACATTTGAGGTACTGTGGATGGACGTGCACCACCTAAGAAAGCCTGGAATGATGATTTCTCATGGTTACCAAATTTGGGGTGGTTCCCCATCATTTGAATCCCAGGAGTTCGCGGCGAAGTTCTACCAGCTGGCCTTCTACTGCTCCGGCACGGTGGACAACTTGACGGCCACCAGCTCGCCCATCCAGCCAGTGATGAGCTGCCTCACCCCCGGCGAGGAGATCTGGGGGTTGGCTGTGGGGGGGGGCTGTGGCTGAAGCGAGAGCTGTGGCTGTGGGGGGGGGGGGGGTGGCGGGGGGGTTTGCGAAAAGGAAACATGACACCCGAGAGAGAGACAAAGAAAAGTGTGGTTGTGGGGGCTGCTGCGGGGGGGAGGTGGCTGCGGGGGGGAGATGGCTGCGGGGGGGGGGGGGGGTCCTAAAAAGTAAAGATGACACCTGAAAAGCATTTTTTCAGGGTGGTCCACACGAATTCATGGGTTTCCAGGGCGTCTTTTGTTTGGGAGGGCGCTTGAACTGTGTTCAGCGGATGCCACCCTGATCTGTTTGTCTTTTCATTTTTATTTTTATTTTCCCCAGCATGCTCTTTTTGCAGTTTTGCTGGTTTCCCTGGCGTTTGTTCTGCTCCTTTTTGCTGGGTGTTTTCCCTGCATGGAGCCCACCAATGCTCCATTTTAGGTCCCGGAAAAGTCATGGTCGGCTCGGCCAATGTTAGGATCAACACATGCCGAGCTGAAGCTCGAAATCAAAAGGCCCCAAACAATTACCCATAAAAATCCACACTCCCTGAGTTCATGGACTTTATACTTTTTGGGAAGACCATTTTGGTGGTAAACAAAAAGTGTGGACTTTTTTTGGCCAATCAACTCAGGAAGCGAGAATCGGGGGGAAGGGGGGTGGGGGTGATTGATCAACGCCCCAAACGTGTGGGTGATTGTTCAAGCATTCTCACGTCTGGTCGGCCGGATCCGGATCCAAGCGCAGCTGAGCGAGGGGGAATTTTTGACTCGGCCTGGCTTGGCTTGGCCGTTGTCTTTGTTCTCCCTTTTGGCGGTGATGGGCCAAAAAATCAAGACCGCGGATTTGAGGCCGTGTTTTCATTTTACCAGTCTGGGGTCACCCGAGTTTTGCCCCCGCAAAGAATAAGCCCAGGTCCCTAAGAGCTGAGCCTATCGACATGACCCTATTCGCTGGGGAGAAGGCAATTCGATCGCTTTGGGCGTGTCTTTTGTCTTTGGGATTTGGACCCCAGACGGCTTCCATGTTCCTGTTAGTTTCCTGCTCAGTCCAAAAAGGGGGTAGCTTCTAGAGACAGAAACCCACGGACAGTTTGTCCTTGATGCGACGACGGCTCCATGAGATCATCACTTGACACCCTTATATGGGTGTGTTGATATTATAAATGGAATGAGTTATTCATTTGGGGTGTACTGAAATCACGTGTGTTTTCCTTTGGTCATTTGTACCAAGCTCTTAACCGGCAGGAATGTGCAAACAAGACAACGGACAAGGATAGCCGCCATTGTTCAGTGGCATCCTCTAAGTCCCTTTCGGCTTGGATTTCCATAGAAAAATGAATTCCAAAGACTTGAAGAAGACCCAAGAAGGGTCAAGGATCCGGTAAAATTCAGCTTCCTGTTCGCTGTTTGCTTGAATCTGTGATCCTTGTCGCATGTTCCCGAAGCTTCAAGCATCCTGTCTCAATTGATTGGCCCTGTCTCTTTTGTGGTTTGAAACGAAAAGGGAAAGCTACGTCATAGATTTCCAAATGGTTCCCCTGAAATCTGACCGCATTCCAAGATTAAATTCAATCACCCTGATCCCTAAGGAGCACCATAAATTTCCAGGTTCCTTTGGGTTGATCTTGCCCTCAGGAGGAGGAAACCGTGAAGATGAATCATCGAGCTTGGCAGGAGACGGCGCGCATTGGGCTCGCTGAGTGGCTGGCGGCTCATAGGATGTGCTTGGACATGCGGAATACTCCCTCCGAACAGTTTGCTTTGGTGGGAAGACATGTGCAAGGCAATTCTCAAATTGGAACCAACACGAGCAAATTCTGCAGCTTTTCAGCGTTTGTGGAGGTTGAGCTTCTCCTAGGTCCCCCAGCTAGGTGCCCTTTTACCCTTTTTCCTATTTGGAGGAGGGTTCCTCTACTAAAATAGACTACAGAAAAAAATCGGGTACCCTTCTTCTAACCTCTCAAATCTGGAGGACCTTGTCTCACTTTGCCTTTTGTTGCTTCCTCCCAAGATTCACTCTCACTCTCACAACCAAAGACGTTTGCTGGGTTCGTAGGGACGAGATCTTCAGCCTGGTCAGCTGAAATAGTTAGTTTACGGAAAGGTTTTCCCCCGATGTCGCGATCCGTCCCAAAAAGTAGTCTGAAAGTGTCAGGTCCCAACTGGCCACGTAACCTTGGAAGGCCTAAGGTCGCTTTATTTGTTACTTCTTACTGTAATAACCCGTATGCTTCATGGTATTTTTGGGCAAACCAATCGGTTTTCTAGGGTAAATACCTCCTTTCTTAGACAAGGGTCAACATCGTGCCCGATCATATCAACTCAACAAAGTGTATTGGGTGTGGGTGTTTTGGCTAGAGTGAGTTCTTCGGGTCTGAGCTTGCCCAAGCACATCTTTATATTGCTTGCTACTCACAGTTTTCCCTCTTCCTAGATAGCCAAGTTGCCGCATTGTTCAGTCACTGTTGCTGGTTTTTGGGGTACAGTGCATGGAAACAAGCAGCAACTGGCGATCCAGGTTGGGTCAAAATTTGGTATAAACAGCCTACCTGGACCCTCAACTCCCCATAATGGGAAATCACCAACCATCAAATTTGGGTTGCAGTAACCCTTTTTACGGGAAGCTTGAGGGTCCAGGTACATTGGTTCGTGCCAAGCACGGTCCCACTTTCGGCCTAGGAGCAGTGCGGGCCCATTTTGGTGTCGGCTTTGGGGGACTCCAAGTTCATCTTTGGGGATCGCTTTACGGCCATCGACGTCATCGTGGGCACCAACATGCACTACATCTACAGCGCCTTGTCATCTCAGCAAAACTCGGGCGGGGGGGGGGGGGGAGCTGCACGTCGCAGGGGCTTGCCCTAATTTTCAAAGACTTTGGTTTCTGACTCAGACCTCCAGTCTTCGCTGATATTTCGTTATCTTAGCCCATAACTTGTTGGTTGAACTTGTGCGTTTTCCCACCCACCCCCACTAAAACAACATACTTTTGGTAAGGGTGGCAATGGCCACCGAGCTTACTGCAAATGCAAGTACCCCAAAATCACTGAGTGACGGCTCATTTTATGCAAGGACCTCATACATGGCGGGGGCCGGTTTGCAATCATGGAAGAACTGCTGCCGCGAATCGATGTTCATACCGTGGATGGGCGAACTCCTGCACCACCGTTCAGAAACCCTGGAATGAACAATGTTTTCCCGGGTTTCCGGGTGGTGCAGGATTGTGTCCAGGTGATTTGAAGGTCCTTTTCCTATGGAAACTGAAAGCGCATGGAAAAGGAATCGCCGATTCTAGGTCCAAACTGGGCAACTAGGCAAGCCTCCTGAACTATGTTCCTTTTTCGGGTAGATGAAATGTGAGGTGGCGTGTTTGTTCAGAGAAGCAACGCAGTGGGCCAACCTAGCCCAGATGTTTGATCTTTTTACCCAGATTGTGGATCATTTGCCCCGGCTTGCCATGGTTTTGGGTCGGTGACTTCTGATTTTAGCTGCGTTTGGCCCGTTTGGCCTCTGAAGTCATCTGAGACAAGCGTGGCTGGCGAGACTTCCCGGTGTTGGAGGCTGGGAATTGAGAGATTCCAGGGCTGAAGTGGTTGTTGCATGCTTCCATTTGCTGAAAGGAATCTTTTTTGCTTTCTCCCGTTGGTTTTCAAGGGCATGGATTCCACTGCTTGAACTATGTGTTTTGTTGCTTTCCTGGGTGTTGGATGTTTTTTCTGCCAACACCTGGCATGTCCAGGTGCTCATTGGAGGGGAGCTACTTGTTCACACCGGAAGTCTGGGAAGCAGGGACTGAAGGTTTTTGAATAAATGTCTTGCCCGAGCCTTCTGAATGCCCATTCCCCCGTCCAGACGTTTGAAAAAAAAGGATGCAGGGGTGGGTGAACCCGTGGTGGGGCTTCATGTCTGAGACATGAAGGCTCATGGTGGTTTGAAGGGAAAGGCAGCCACTTTGAAGGGAACGTATGAAACCCTAGGGTAAACCACCCAACTGGTGCGCAATGGATTTCGCCAAACCACTTAAAGGGAAAGACCCGGTTACAAAGGGGGGAGAGAGACTTACTTTTCACTAGGCGCCAGCTTGTGATCGCAAGGGAACCTTTGAAAGAGCCAGCCTTTTGGATCTACTGAAAGGCGTCTGTCCTCTTTTGAGGGTCCCCCTTTCTTCTTTGGTTCTAGAGAGGCGCCAAGAAGACACCGTTGCGCCATGTTTTCTGTCGGGGGGGTCTTCTGTCCCAAACAAGAAGACAGACCCCATTCTAAAGACCTCTGGTTTCCTGGGAGCTCTGGTTGGCATGGTAAACAATCCCGGGCCTCCTTTTGTTTGAGATCCATTTCCAGTCCAATGGGCATCATTTTTCCAGTTCAGTGGCTTCCCCAGATAGGGTGGCGGCATAGTCAATCGCTTGTCGATTCCCATTTTTATTTATTTATTTTTTAAGTTGCCCAATTCCCACCTTGCAACCTTTTATATTAAAACACTTTTTCACCACGTCTTCGCCTTTTTCTCCTTACATCGTTTCCCCCTCAACCTTGCACCCCCCAAGCCATCCCCGAACCCATCCCACAAGTGTTCGCCCCCCCCCCCCCCCTCTCGAACCCGCGCTCAAAGCTCGTGGTTCGCGGAGGCCTACTTCGAGCGGCTCAAGGAGCGGCCGACGTTTCAGGAGGCCTTCGGCAATTTCCCCATCGCCTGAGAGCGCCTTCTTTAGACGCGGAGTCGCTCACCCGAGCGGGGAGCTGGGAGCGGGGAGCGCGAGCCGTGAGCGCCGTTTTGCGTTGGCGCAGGCAGACCATACTCAAACACAATTTGGATGGATGTTTGTCATGTCCATTTTGGCTCATGTCGAGTCCCCAAAAGTGAGGCAGGTCTTTACTCGGGTCTTTACAGCAGCGCGCAGTCCACGTTTTTGGCCGCTCGTGGCTTCCCGAGCTCCGGCTGTCGCTTGGACGGCCGGTTGTCCTCCGTTGCGTTTTCGCCCGCCTCGCTCGGAGACGTGGCAGCGGGTGAAAAGCTGGGAGTTTGCGCAGGGCGTGATGGGTTTGTCTAAACACCGCAAGCAAGCTTTTGAGACATCTACCGTCCCTCCCAAGCACAATCTGCTGGTGGATTTCCATCAGGGGGAGCCTTAGCTGGGAGAGGCTCGGGCATCAGGCACTTTGCCGGAAATGGTCAGTCAACCCCCTTGCGGTTCCTTCAAGAGAAATACCCTCCTGTCCTCCAACATGGAACCTGACTGAGACGATTTTCCTTATGGACACTCTGGTCGATTCCATGTTCATGGGTTCTTGACGGAGTCCTTTTGTGCTTTCAAAGGGACAAAAAGGGGAAAGCAAGAAGTGAATCATACAATGAGATAAGAAACACTTGCATGACAAGAGGAACTCCATCCGAGACTTCAGAAATAAGTGGTTTGCGTCTCTCTTTTCCGTTCTCTCGTCTGTCATCCTTCATCCATTCCCAGCGGTTTAATCCGTGAGCATCAGATGGCACAATATCAATGCAAGAAGCCATCCCAACTATTATGATTAAACATTATTTTGATGGCTTGCCATTCTATCTCTTCCATCTCTTCCCTCTCCCATTCCTACCGCTTTTCCAGGCGCGGGGGAGTCTTGCTCATTTGGGGCTACTTCCAAAATCAGACCCCAATTTGGATCCACATACAATGCAATCGGGAACCTTCTCAAACATGATGAACATCCTTTTTCATGTGTTTATGATGTCCACCGAAGGGCCCCAAATTAAAATTACCCCTTCCTTCCCATCTTACTTACAGGGGCAGGGCACTTAGTGAGTGGTTAGTAAGCCTGGGTATAACCCACTTGGGAGATTTATATCCATGGCAAGTGGGTTGTGACTATGTTTTTTTCTACCCAGAGGCTTCTGGGGCTTTCAATGGAAGACCCGACCCTCCATTCGACACCCCGGAGGTGGTTGGGGTCTCAAGACAGGTCGATTGAAGGCCCTAAATCAATCGAATTGGAGCCTCTGTATAGCCTGCCCCTTTAAGTAGGGGCTTCAGTATATCAAGATTCAGACAATAAGAACATGTTTGGTGGAAGTCTGCTGTAACAAGGATTCGCGTCGAGAAAGATGTCGCATTCCATAAGCAATGAAGCCTTTGGCTATAACCCACTTGGGAGATTTATATCCATGGTAAGGGGGTTGTAACTTTATAACTATTTGTTCTTCCTAGCCTGCCCCTTTAAGTAGGGGCTTCAATCCAATTTATCCATTGCTCTCGTCTTCTCCTCCCAGGTGACTTGTTGCCGCCGCGATGCGCGGGCATCGCGGAAGATCATCCGCTCAGAAAAGTGCGCGTGCATTGCGCGGGTGGGCCCGTGAAAAGGGTGTGGGTCAAGAATAGGTACCCAGAATGGAACCCTGGTAAATGGAAACAAAGACCAACACTTGCGGTCCCCTGATGGTTTATTTTTGACCCATACCCAAAACGAACAAATGGGGTTGTCTCACAATTGGGGGAGCCCCAAAATGGTGGCTTTCTCCTTTTGATTTCCCCTTCAAAGAATACAAAAATGGGGGTACCCTCAAAAAGACAAAGTGATTCTCCTTGTTTGGCTCCCAGGTTCAGCCTTTGGAACGAAGAGGCATACCACCTTCTGACTTCGGGACATGTGACCCCTGCAGGTGAGTTCCGCTTTGTTTTTCCTTTCCAGAATTGAGGGCCTGTCTGGTGAAAGACTTGTCCCTCAAAAGCAAACATACCGAGAGAGTCCCCTTTCAATGTCAACCCCGTCGATAGCCCCCCTGCTTGATTAATAGGGGATATCACCTTTTAGTGGGGAACTATTCACTTTCCTTCTTCCGACTTCCTGAATCGAAGGACCCAAGTCAATCCTGAGGGTCGCATGGAGCCCTGAAAGGAGAAGCGGCCGGGGCCCCATCACTTTTTGGACCTTCGGGCCGGGAGAAGTACGGGGCCAGAGAATTACGCGGCCGGGTGGAGGAATGGTATGATCTTGAGGGCGTTTGGGTGACCCTTGAAATTCAAATGGTGTACCTGAACCCTCAAAAGTCCCTTAAAAATGGGTTTGACCCCCAAAATTATGGGGTGATATCCCATTTTTATGGGCAGTTTGAGGGTCCAGGTAACTATGTTGCCTTGGGGTTGTGAAGCCATGAAGCGAAGCCCCCTCTCCCGATTCTCAAATTTGGGTTTGGACCCTGAAATGGGCTGGTTAACAGGCGCGCCAAATGGAGAAGCCAGCCATTCTGGGGCCTCCCTACAAGAAAGACAAAAAACCACCAGGGCTCCTCAAAAGATCTCCATCTTGCCACCATTTGAAGCATGTGGCTTTTTCAACACCAAAATACAGTTGGAGACCACCAAGGCAATGTTCCGGTGCATAATGTTGTCGGATCCCTGACCATATTCCCCTCAGCAGAGCAGCGATTCGGACACCGATTCTCCCGGATCAATTCGGCCCAGGCCCTCTCTCGAGACCTTGAGCGCCGCGGTCGGAGCCTTGCGAGGCGAGGGGTTTGTCCGCTTCCGCAAGCGGCAAGTCATAGTTTTGGCCCGGAAGACGGGATCCTTCTCTTTTTTTTTGTTTTTTTTTTTTTTTTTCAGGTATCTCTACCAAGAAAAGGGGGGTCGGTTTTCCAAAACGCACGGGTAACAAGAACGAGGCATTTGGGGGGCAATTTGGGGGAGAGGCGTCCATCTTTTCTGAGGATGCCCCTTGATTGTGTGGCCCACTTTTGGGGGGATTTCCCCAAAAAAGAATCGACCAGGGCTCAAAACCTCCGCTCCCCTGGCTATAGAGGGAACTGGAATGGTATGTGAAAGAGGTACTTGTCCTCTAAACCAACAAGAGAAGGGCACCCTTCAACACCTATTCCTATATCATAAATAGATATAAATCCCTTTTCTGATACGTTGATTCGATTCCAATGGTTCCACTCTCTTCTTCTTCTGCTTTTTTAAGCTCAAGACCAAGACATGTGCGTTTACTCTGGCACCTGTGAGTTTCCCCCTTTGGAGTCTGAGGGGCGGGCCTTTTTGATTGTCCCTCCCCGGATTCCCACTAGTCCCCCAGAGCAAAAACCGCCTTATCCGCCCTTCTTCGATTCGAACGGGGGGGAAGGACTGAGTCTCAGATCCACTGCTTTCACGACCCCTGAAAATCCCAGTACCCCCCTCCCCCACACTTCTTTTTTTTTGGCATACAGGGTGTGCTTGGGAGTGGGTGGTTGTTGGGTGGGTGGGTGCCAATATGAACTTACCCTCCCCCTCCCCCCCACCCCAGTTTTCGATCAGAGGGCCCTGTCTCACGGAGCGCCCCTTCAGAACTGGAATTGGCTCCTGACCGAATAACGCAGAGCCAACAGGCAACTCTCCGCCGCTTCCAACTTTGCTAGTTTGGCAGGTTTTACTGGCCTCCTTGGGGTGAGGGATACTTGTTTTTTCGGTTAAAAAATCCCATGCTGGGTTGCCCTGATGTATACAGGCAGGTCTCGTGTTTTTTTTCAGGCTTCCACCTGCAGGAAGTAGTCATGGTTGTCGTTGGGAATCAATTTACATTTTTGCTTATTGTGGTTTAGTGGTTGAAATCCAAATCCACTTAACTGCTAAAATTTTAATTTTTGCTCCCTTTCCAACGTCAACCAAGTAGTTGTGCTGCTTTCCTTTCTTGGGAGTAAACTCGTCTTCTCCTGGAAGAGATACAAGCCAGTCTGCAACGCGCATGGTCATGCAAGCTTGTGTGCACCTGCCGAGCGGGAAGGGGCTCCGTGGCATTTATACACATTATATATATATATATGTACATATATATAGATATACATATATTTGTATATTTATTAGATAGAGATAGATATAGGTTCCTATGGTTGTCAGGTCCCCCGAAAGAGGGGACCTGGAAATGCTCCCCCAACAAAATCACTGGACTGCAGCCAGTCGCTCTTAAGCCCTTTGTAGATTGGGGGGGGGCCTATTGAGGGGTCCTTGACAGCCGCAGGATATAGATATACACACGTATGTTCTCATGCACGTGATGTTTGTTTGGGGCGAATGAGCCAGGCGGCGACTACTGGGCCCTGGCCATGTCTCTGGCCACTCGGACCACCAGAAAATTAAGAGCGAGCTCACTGAGTCGGGAGATAAAACGAGCTTACGGTAAAGATCCTTTACTTGGGGATGCATTATTTCAGGTTTCGCATGTATTGTAAAAATTGCAGATATGAGATATGTATGAACCCCTGGTAGCACCCCCCCCCCCCAATTTATGGGTCAATGAAGCGCTAGTTGTGGCTGGATTATGGGAAATCAGCCCCCAACAAATCCCAGGCAAGCCCTTGTAGCAGGTAACCCTTTGCCACCCCCACCGTTGGGTTTGAAAGGGGAGATACCCTGCTGTCCACGTAGGCTATGGAATCTTTTCATGGAAATGGCTCCTTTTGCGAGATATCATCGTCTTTTGGAATGGACCCCCGTTTTCGGTTCTTTTTTAATTTGCAGGGGGAAGGGCAATGTAATTGAAGAATCCCAAAACATGGAGAGGGTCTTTTGCAAGTTATTGGCGGAATGCAGTTCTGGACGATGTTCTTTGGAAACCTGAATTGTTGACATCATAGATTCCGTTAAGTGGGCGAAATTTGATTCTGTCCACAGCTGCTACAAAGAGGATATCCAGGGACCGCTGCAGTATGAGAGCAAAATAATTGGAATGTGTTTTTTCATTTTTCCTTATTTTTTTTGTGTGTGTGGGGTTGGTTTAAAGTCGGGGTCCTCAAAAATAATTTCTTCTACGAATAGGTGTCTCTTTTT